TCCCCCCCTGCTCTGCCTTGCTGAGGCCACAGCTGGAGTGCTGTGCCCAGTTCTGGGCTGGCTACTCAGTGCAAGAAAGACAGGGATGTTCTAGAGAGAGTCCAGCAGAGGTAGTTGAACAAGCTGCCTAGAGAGACTGTGGATTCTCCTTCCTTGAAGATCATTAAAACCCATATGGACACTTTTCTGTGCAGCCTACCATAGGGGACCTGCTATAGCAGGGAGGTCAGACTAGATCTCCTTCCAACCCCTACAATTCCGCATAAATTAAGAGATTTGTCTACATGTAGATAGCATGGATTTAGCCTTGCAGGAGCTGCAGCCCCTAAACCGAGCTGAAGGCTGCTGCTAGCACTTGCCTGTGATTTAGGATGTACAGGACATAATCTGCCATTCCAAGACATCTGTTTGGCGAGAAACAAAGACACTCTGTGTACAGATGTTTCTTCTTCCTGAAGACCTTCCCATTTGCCAAATGAAAGCTGATAACAGCCAATTTTTTTTAAAGAAAAATCCTCACTTCTAAATGATCTAGCTAATATCTGTACACACAACCACCATAGAGACAAATAACCTGGATTTTGTATAACTCCTTCTGCAGCCTCACACACTTGATGTTTAACAAGCACAAAAAAAGCCACACAGTCATAGCTGAGCAACTTCAGGAGTTAGTTAATGGTTGACAGATCTGAAAATCAGGCTAACCAACTCACACGGAGCCCATGTCCCAAACACCAAAAGACTGTGATGACTCTCTTGTCCCTGTCTTTAGGAGACGCATGGGGCTTTGTGCAGAGCTCACACCACAGGTAAGGCTGCAGCATCCTTACCTTGAAGGTCATGATGAGATGAGTGAAATGAAACTCAGCCTCCAGGTTCAGCTGGATTGTCACATTCTCCAGACCTGCAAGAGCAGAGAAAAGGGACTGTGCAGCAAGGAAGGACACTTGGCAGCCTCTGCATCAATACATCACCAAGACTCTGTGCTCTGGTGACACTGGGATTCTCTTCTTTGCCACTTGACTCTAACATCAAAAATGGATATAGTGCATTAATGAGTTACAAGGAGACATTATGGACCTGCTGAAGACTGCATTATGCATGGGATTATTGTGCATCGCCTGCAAAAACACGCTGTACCCAAAGCATGAGCCTGCACTGCCTTTACTTCAGACCATAATGTATCTAACAGCACCAGGTGCGGGACAGTAGTAGCTGCAGAACCCAGCCAACCTATAGCTCAGTGCTCAGAGACTGGCAGGAGTGAGGACACCACAAGCCCAGCCCCAGGCTGTCTGCACACATTGCAGCCGCAGAGCGGCACGCCAGCTGTGAGCCTCTGCAGTGCTGACATCTAGCATCTCATCTCATGGGGAGTGCTTCCCACCTTTTTTCTCTCTCTGAACTCTCTTGTCCATCTGGGCACAGAATTGTTTCTTTATGGTATCTTTTTTTACGTACTCCCAAACCAGCCACCCCAGCCCTGCTTTGCAATCACAAGGGCTTGGAAATCATAACAAGCAAAATGTTTTTCAAGTGGTGCAGTGTGACTACCTATGGTCAAGGACTCTGTACAGAAACAACAAGTTGCAAATATTATATTGTCATATAAAAGACTTCCCAAAACAGCCAGGTACCAACCACACTGCAGTCAGAAATATTTTAAAAAATCAAGCGAGATCTACAGAGAGGAGGAAGGATAAAAAATGAAAAGAATAAACCAACAAAGTGCTTAAATGTTCAACCAGTTGTGACTTGACGTGCAGTGTACAGCAGTGCACTCTTCTGTTGCATGCCTGAATGGGGAAAAACATGAATTGGACAGAAAGAATCATTTGTTTTTCGTTGTTGAAGCACATTTTCATGACCTTATGAGCTAAGAACTTTTCTGTGTGGATGCTGCCAAGCCTTTGCAAAAAACATGAATTATTTGGAATGCTAGAAGAGAACCAGTAGGACAAGTGGCTCGGTAGTCTGAGCTATATGGTCAAATACAGTTAAAAAGGACTTAGGGAAAAATTTTCTCTACTGAACAGCAGAAATGTTACAAATATTACCATGTTATTTTAACAGAGTCAGATAGCTCCTGCCAGCACGTCTGCAGAAATCCCATCCTGTACATCTGGCTTTAGGGCAGGATGAAAATCTAGATGCCTTGCTTTCTATAGAAAAGCATGCCAAAAGCAGAACCATAAAAGCCAGAAGGGCAGAGGAAGGGCAAAAAATAAAATAAAGGCCACCAAACGAACATGCAACTTGTTGAATTTTTTAGCTTGCTGGCTCATTTCTGGTATTAGTGTAAGCCTTTGGCACACGGGAGCAGGAACCCAGGCTCGTGGCAGCAGGACAGCAGCCTGCAGTCCCGGCAGTGCGGGGAAGCCCCGCAGTGAAGCCCTTCCTTGGCAGCGCTGCCCTGGATCTGCACTGCTGGAAGGCTGCTCTGCTCTCCTGCCCAGACACGAGACGGGCCTGGAGCCGCTCTGGGAAACTTCTCTTTTTAGGAAAGGATTCTCGCTAGGGCGGGAGAGCTCTTTCCAACACTCCTGGAGGGCTCACGGGGTTTTGTTACGGATATGCAGCCACTCCAGGACACACAAAAGCAGCGTTTTACTCAGCTCTCAGCTAACAGCGTGATCCCTTCCTCAGCAGTAATTACCAGCCCTGAGCTAACAGCGAACACGGAGGTACCGCAGACAAAGGGAGAGCGCCTGAGACCCAGCTCCCAGCCGCACCACGTACCATTTTCCGATTGCCACCAAAGCTTCAGACGATTTGGAGCGAATGTGGTGACCACGTTCTCAATGCGATGGCTGTCGGGATTGAGAGTGTCATGGAAGGGGTCCTCAGAATCGCATATGAAACATTTTTTGTCCTCCTGAAACAACAAGATAACCAGCATTACCGATTTTATCCACGGGCAATAGTTGCTTCCTGCAGATAAGAGTATTTTTCATTCATACTACATTCCATGCATTTTGCCTTTGGGAGGCATTGAAGGTGTGGTGCTTTGTTTCTCAATTAATTGATAAGTGTATTTACCTTTAGAAATTGATGCAAAACGCCAAATGGAAAATATGCCAGGAATTCCATAAACTGTACTTTTATGGGTGGTATGCTTTCTATCTAAGCTGCAAAGCTCAGGAAATCCCTGCCAGCAGGCAGAAGAGCTCCCAACCAGAGGCAGCATCTCCAGAAATCCCTGAACTGAAACGTGCACACAAAGCTGTATGTGTGAAATAGCCGTGGCTCTTAAGAGCTCACTTGGGGATGTGAGTTCTTCACATCTGGAGTCATATCCAGTGCATGCAGAGAGCCCACTGGCATTCAGCAACCAGTGTCCCCTCTCTGAATCCAACTTTTCAGGCTTCTACCAGCACTTCACCTCAGACTGCAATCTCAAGCTGTGCCCACAAACCCAGCTTGCACTGTCTACAAAAAAAACCCAGTGGGTGCAAGCGTGGTATGTACCACTTGGGAAGCTGGACAAGCACTTCTCACCACACCAGGGCACCAGGTCTGTGCCAAGCCAACTTTCCATCTCACCGACTTCATCCCTGTCCCTGAGCAGCTGCAAAGCCACACATCCCATAGCAACTAGTCTTGCTTGGTCCCAGGGCAACGAGGGGATGCTCCTGCACCCACAGCCTGGCAGTGCTTAGAAGTAGGCACAGACACACCAGACAGACACTGGAGTGGGCCTGGCATCAGCAAGGCGGGCACATCTCAACTCCCGAAGTGGTGTTTCTGGATATAAACAGCACCTCGGCACCTCAGCACTTTGGGGATGGCAAAAGCCAATAAAGCGAGTTTGTTACTCGGCCGCAGCAGGGTTTTTTGCTGATGCCCTGGGACTCTGATCCCAACGCTGAGCCCGGCGTCACCCGGCGGGGTGAGGTTGGGTAACTGCGGGCACGGGAGGGAGCGGTGCTCCTTCAGAGTGGCAGAATCTGCCCCCATTGTGTCTGCAGCAGCCCTGCCCCGGGGCTATCTCCTTACTTTCCGTATAACCGAGCTGCCGATTATCGAAATTCCATTCCTATCCTCCATCTCCGCTGAACGCAGAGCTTTTAAGCTTAAGCAGCAACGGTCTTTGTGTTTCCCACAGATCAACCCGACAGCCCCACTCGCGTCCCGTCCGTCGCAGCCCATACAAATATAATTATGTTACGGGCGCAGCGGCCGAGCACTACAGACCACTTGCAATCAGGAAGCTGTCTAGACGGCTGCGTGCAAGGCTGAAATAAAGGAAAAGCACTGACGGAACTCACGGCGGCCCGTTCCGTCTCACCGACTCGTCTCACGGCACGGGGCCGCCTCGCAACAGGCTCCGACGGCGCGGGGCTCCCCGGTCCCGCTGCCCCCCAATGGGCTCTGCACGGCGCCGCTCACCTGGAGGTGGCTGACGATGCAGTAGGGCTCTGGCTGGCGGAGGCCGCACGTCGAGGAGGCGGAGAGGCGGGCGGCGCGGCCGATGAGGAGGTCGCCGGTGGCGGGGTAGCAGCTGCCCTCGGCGCAGCCGTAGCTGTACTCGGGCTCCTGAGCCACCGCGACCCGGAGCGCTGCGGGAGAGAAGAGAGAGAATGGGGCACCGCCGTCAGAAGGAGCCCAGCTCAGTCCCCCCCGCGCCGGACCGGGGCTCCCCGCGCCCCGACGGCGGCGGGGACGCGAATAGGAGGGAGCGGGGCCGGGCGAGAGCTACCGAGGCAGCAGCAGAGGTAGAGCGGGAGGCGCCCCATGGCGAGCGGCGGGACGGGACGGGTCTGGATGGGACGGGACGAGACCCCCGCTCCGGAAGCTCCGCGCCGCCGACAGCCTCAGAGCCGCCGCTGCACGCAGGCGCTGCTGCTCCACGCGGCTCTCGGGGAGCGGCTCCGCGCCGCCGGGAGCCCCCTGCCCTCCCCCTCCGCCCCGCCACCCCCGCGGGGCCGGGCCGGGCCCGGCTGCACGGCGCTCCCGGCCCGACGGCGGGGCGGGCCCAGGACGGCCCCTCCCAACGAGGGGCCCCGCCGCAGCGGTATGGCCGGGGAGGAGGCGGCGGAGGAGCGGTGCGTCGCGTGCTGCGGTGTGGGGATGAGCGTACCCGACGGGGCGACGCCCGCCAGAGATGTTATCGGCGAAGAAACGGTGTGGGAATGGGCTTGGAGACCGACCTGCGCGCTGCCCGCCGTCCGAGGCCGGGCAAGGTGCTGGCCGCCCATGGGACAGCTAATATCGTGCAGTGCTCGGTGGCCACGAAGCACGAGGAGAGGCCGCCGGCTGCCTCTCCCCAGCTCCAGACACACAGCACCGGGATGGTGGTGGAGGGACGGTTTGAGGAGAGCAGACCGATTTGCTAGTGCAGCGGGAGCTCTGCTGGCAGGCTGAAGCTGCAGCGTTGTCCTCCTGCTGCGAGTGAGGCTGGAAATGGAGGATCCCGTGGGCTCGGTGTGCTGAGACGGGTCCTGAGTTCTGCACACGCGGTGTGCTGTGCACTCACAGGCGGTACGTAAATTTCTGCCAGGTACCGGTGTCCCTCAAGAACACTTTGCCCTCACTGTTTGCAGTCACTGAATGAAAACGTGCGGCGGGCTGCGTCCCACAAAACCCTGCCGGGTAGGTAAATATGCTCGCTCTCGTTTTACAGATGGATAAGCAGAAACAAAGAGATACGAAGTGGCCTGCCCTAAAGGTTAAACACCAGGTCTGGAACATAACCCAGGGCTCACTACCGGAGGGCTCATGGCTGTGTTTCATTAAAAATGCCCAGGAAATTAAACCATTCTTTGCTGGTAGGGCAGGTATTGAGGTATTGTTATTCTAAACCTCTTTCGCAATGTGGTCTTTGAATTCACGGAACTCATAGAATTTCACAGTCCTGTCATGCAAATCACAGCGTGGCTTTGCTTCTGTTTCAATACAACAACTGCATTTGTCCTACTTAGAAAATGCATTACTCTGCTAGTCGGTGAGCTCCAGCAGTAAGGGGCAGAAGGTGCTCTGCGGTGTCCCTCCTGTCTGTGTGCAATAACAGTGTTTCCACTGGATTCTTTTGTGTGGCATATTTTTCTAATTTTTATTGAGGTTTTTCTTCTCCTTTTTTTCTCTTTTTCATGGTCCTGCTGAACTGTTGCCCTCTCTGGATCTAACCCAGACTGTGTGTGCCCACGGAGCTGCATGTGTGCCTGGCTCAGGGATGTCTCTGACCTCAAGGAGGCCCAATTCACCGCCTGTTGTAGCACGGCTGTGGTTGAATGCCCAGAAACATCTGACAAGATCCTGTTTGATTGAATATCTGTTTGATTTCACATGGTTTTGATTAAATGTTGTTTGTTTCCACAAGAAAGAGAAGTGGGGCTGGGAGGACTGTAACTAGTGGGTTTGATCCAGATCAAGCATGTGCATGCAGACTGACTTCACAAAAACACTTTAAAAAGTTTCCTCCCATGGATCCATCTCATCTCCAGGCTTGCTTTATTGCCTCTCACAGGTGATTTTTTTTAAAATTCAGGAAAAGGTAAAATGCAAATTCTGTGCAAATTCTGTGCACCCAGCCTGCATGTGCCTTTGCCAGGTCACATCAAAGTTACAGTTGTACAGCAGGAGCTGCAATGCATGTAGCACTCTGCCTGCTGTGCAGCTGGTCAGAGTCACAGGAACAACACTGAGATCTCTGTGCCAGCTGTTCCTATCCAAGCCCCCCCACCAGGTACAGATGCTTTTAACTCCAATAACTGCAGTTACATCTCCTTGGGCAGACGCAAGGCAGGCTCTCACGTGAGGCCTGTTGTACGTGCGCTGCTGGCACCGGGCTGCCTCAGGACTGATGGAGGCGGTGCCCGGCTCCTCACAGCACACACACAGCCCACTATGAGTGCGTGCTTCCTGTGGGGCAGTGCAGGTGGGCATGGCCATTTTTATTGTGGGAAAGCTGGAGATGCTCTGCTCAGCTCCAGGAGTACCAAGGGTGAGATTTTGAAGCAGAGGCCTTGCTCTCTTTGGCCTTTCTAACACTACACCCTTTCTGTAGCCTTTATCTAACTCCTGTCTAATATTAGAAACAAATTCTAAACTAAAACTTAGGATGAATCCTGTGTTTTGTATGGCTGCAAGGAGCTGCTGTGCAAAACCTGGCTGCTGTAAAGCACCACGTGTAGGGGAATTGCTGAGAAACTTCTTCAGAGTGTGCAGCCTTCAGCTCCACGGCTTGGGCTGAAATGCTGGTGCCGTTCTCAAGCTGGAGAGCGTGTTAATGAAAAACGTGGGCCACCCCTTAGAAACACACAAAAAAAGTGCTGCTGTGATTTCAGAGTCGATTTCTGTGTTAAACATCTGTGCACTGCCATCCAGCGGGCACTGGGGGCTTTGCTGCCTGTTACCCACCTCTCCTGGTGGTCCGGTGCGGTTCTGGATTCCCCCGAGGGTCAGGTGGCCCCCTGCTCTGTCTCAGCAAGGCTGTGCCCTGGTCTGCAGGCAGCCCCAGGCACTTGGAGGGTTCAGCAACATAACTGAGAGTGCTGGGAGCCATCTCTGAGGCAGCTGTCTGGTGATCTCTTACAAATCGTCCTTTTTCAACCTTCTTAGTCCACGCATCTTAACATCATAGAATCACCAGGGATGGAAAAGACTTCCAAGATCATCCAGTCCAACTGTCCACCTACCACCAATATCTCCCTACTAAATACAACATCTAAATGTTTCTTTACGCCTCCAGGGACACCGGCTCCGCTTTTCCCTGGTAATACATTGGCACAGGCTGCCCAGAGAAGTGGTGGAGTCACTGTCCCTGGAGGCACTCAAGAAACATGGAGACGTGGCGCTGTGGGACATGGGTTAGTGGGCACAGTGGGAGTGGGTCAATGGCTGGACTGGATGATCTTAGTGGTCTTTTCCAACTTAATGATTCTATGATTTCCAGCCCTTGCAATGAGAAGTCACAGGCTGTGGACAGCTGTGAATTTTGAGTTCCCCTCAGGATTGTATCCTGATTACTTAGTTGGGTGTTCCATTAAAAGTTTATTAAAAGTTGTTCATATTCCATATAAACTCAGACTAAAAACCAAGAGAAAGTTACATTATGCCCCACACCAAAATTCTGTACACACCTTCAGACTTACATACGGAGGACAGCCACCCTGTGCTCATGAGGTGGTATACACAGAGGCCTCTGTTGCACTTTACCTGCCCAGCCCTTAGCTTTTGCACGTGGAGTACTTGCTTTCCTGCTCTGTGATTTCATTTTTAATGGCTATCACTTGTTCCTCTAATTGTCTGAGTTGCTCCGCCTTGTCTTGCTTGGTTTGATTCAGGTCCTGAAGCTTCTTCTCCAAATCTGCAAGAGTAAAGTCACATGCAGCAATGCACTTATGTGTTGTGTAAGCAAAATCCAGGGATTAACAGTGTTCCTTTTTCCAGCAGTTTTGGAGGCAATAAGCCCATTTCAAATGGAGAATGTTATATATGCAACTGGGGGGAAAAACCTGGCTTCTAGACAGTGAGAAAAACATGACAGCTTTAAAACAGTTCATTTCTCAGCATATGCTTTTGTCTGTCAGCTATGATGGAGCAGGACATAGAGCTCTTAAAGCAGCTGGTTTAATTGAAAACATTCAGAGGGGCACTGCAGCTACTAATGTGTGTAAAGCCTAGAAAATTTGAATGTAATGGGCTTAGGTCTTCTTCATTTACAGAAGTATTTTCCTAGTACCTGTGAAGATAAGCCAGTGAGAAAATAATGGCACCCTATTTGCTGCCTGTTCCCAAAGCATGGGCATTTGGAAAGACTGAAATTCTCTCAATACTTCTTTTCAAAATGCCTGCTCAAAATATTTATTTGGCTCCTGTCTTGAAAGATTTGCTCCAGGATGCAATTTCTGCTTCAGTTCTGCTGACATTACATGGCAGTTTTGGATACTGAACAGCATCCTATGCCCAAGAATTCCCAGTGGGGGTGCCCAGACCTTCACTACATGCAGAATTAGCTCCTCTGAGTGCAATTATGTGAGCTGTAGTGGAAGTTTGCCCTGCAGCCTCCCTGCATGTGGATGTGCACCTTCTCTTTTGATGGAAAAACATCTACCTGCATCTCTTGGTAACACAAGTTGTCATCCAGGTAGTGTAAGAAAAGGCAGAGTGCAGAGGAAAGATGAAAAGTCCAAATACCCAAATCAAAGCTCCTGGCTACAATCTGCAGCTACAGTTTTAAAGCCCGTCTCTGAGAACCTGAAACAGGCTGCACAGATTTTGCACGTCCTGCTTTTACTCTGCCTGAATCAAATCACTGCAGGTCTCACTATGGACACTTCTTGACCTCTGCTTATTGCAACCAACATATGTCAAAAAACAATACAAAACAACAAAAAAAACCCCACTACTCCAACCAATTCAACTACTGGGAAACTGTTAGTAAACGTTCAAGCAGTGATTTTCACTAGTTTAACTATTTTAAACCCAATTTCAGGTGAACCTGGCCTGCTAACATCAGTGGGAAAGGCTTCCAGTTTAATTTCCACAATTTCTTCTGCTTGCTATAGAAAGGAGAACATCACCTGTTATTCTTCTAATTTTTTTTTCAGTCTCTTCAGCCAGTTTTTCTGCTTCTTCCTTCAGCTGCTTCACTTTCTCTAGAGTTACTTTTGGAGATCCTTTTGCTTTCAGCTTGTCTTGAAGAATGGTGTACTTCCTTTTAATGTCAGTGAATTCCTGTAACGAAACCCCATTACTTAGTTTAGGAGCATCTTATAATTAACCTGGCATACCAAAGGGTATTTAAAAAAAAAAAAAAAAAAGTGTAGAAAAACCATCTGTTTGAACCAAGCTTAAAATCTTTCAATCTTTTAAACCTTAAAACAATCCATCATAAGTGCACACTGAAGAGTGCTCTGCAAAGCCAAGTATAAATTGATGAAACAAACTGCCCACGGAGGAATCTGGAGTGTCAGTGAGGATGAAGATGTAAAGAAAAAAACAGTTAAAGATTTTTAGAACTTACGTATGCTGTTTTTATTTCTTTTGATAGGGCTTTTCTATATATTTCATTTTTGCTATGAGGCTTGATTCACATGTAATGCATTACCTATAATATTTTTTAAAAACATTTTTTCACTGGAATATTTACTGGCTACTTCCATTTTGCGCTGATTTGGGGTGCCTAGGAGGCTGCAGGTTAGATTTCTACATCGGTTTCTTACAACCTGGATGCTCAGTCATGCTCTGCCTTTGGAGCCGTGGGTGTCTGGTTCTCTTCACACAGCGTTTTAGCAAATTTCCAGCTGCCTCAGAGCATTCTCAAGAAACTGGAACTATTGAAAAGCACCCAGCCAACCCCAGCCTCCACAGAACTCCCACCAGGTTTTTCTCTAATGGTGAACAGCACGAGACGAGTGGACAGAGTGCTTCCATCGCTCACATATTTTAATATCTGGTTTTGTGATTTGCTCTGTTGTGTTTGCTGGTGCCCATGGTGACTCTGAGTCTTATACACAGTGCAAGGAAAAATGTCATGGAGTAGCCAGTGAAATGTGTATGTTTTCTTTCATTCAAGCAAATTGAAGTGCTGGCTGTTAGAAACTTTAAAATAAAACAGAAATTATACATAACCTAGGGAATTATACATGGCGTGGCATAAGGAAAACTTAAAAGAGTTTTGAGGAAAACGGGCTAACACAATTACACTTCTGAATCAATAACAGTATCAAACATAGAAGGAATGTTTTTTCCTTTCATGTGAGACAGAAAGGCTTACATTATCAATTTTCTGAGCTCGCTTGTATGTTGCTTCTGCCCCTGCTCTCACATTTGTAGCTTGATTTTTGTTCATCAGCATTTTCATCTGCAGTGTGGTAATTTCATCTTCCAAATTGGACTGTTTTGCTGAAAAGTCATTGAGTTCATTGCTTGTCTTGTTCATTTGGTTCCCAGCCTGGAAAAGAACAGTTGGAGGTTGTGGTTTCTCGTGCCTTGTCCATCCCACCTGCAGAGCTTGGTAATGAAGGAGATGAATAGCAACTGACAGACAAGAGGAGCCCCTTGCATGTTATGGAATTTGTATTGTATCTGAGACATATTTTGATTTTAATTTACAGTTACATTAAGGAAAAACTGGGATAAGCTCAATCATACATTAAAAGCTTTACAGCAAGATACCTGTGAGATTTGTGCTTTGATTCCTTGTATCTCTTCATTTAACTTCATGAGGGTATTTTTGGAGCGTCCTTGGGAGCTCACAACATTTTTTAGTTCGTCATTAATTTTGTCCACAGGGGGAAGAGCTTTAGCTGCTTTGCTAAAATGGAAAAATAGAAAGTGCATGTAGTATTGTGCTGTTGAGAGCAGAGCAAACACATTTCAAATGCACCCGTGCTCACATGCAGAAATGTTCCCTCAAGTCGACAACAACCTAAAAGTGTGGTTCATAAAAGCAAAACACTGGTAGTGGCCTTGTGTGTGGGAGAGCACCAACTGCTGTGCTGAAGGAGAGGATGGATGCTGCGAGCTGCCTGGCAGAGCAGTGCTGGCAAGGAATGCTCATTTATGAGGTGAACATACTTTCTTCTTCCTCAGTTTTGGCTGGTTCTTGCTCACCCATGTTTAAATCTCTTGTGGAACGAGATACGATGCTGCCCCAGGTCCCACATGGAAGCAGCTAGCTCCCTTGGTCTTTTGTGTTCAGCCAGCAAGACCAGGAGCTGGTGGCAGCTACCACATCTTGTAGTACGTCAGATCCTACAGCCTAGGCCACTGTGGCTGCTCACTGCTGGAAAACAGCAGTCTGAAATCTGAGCTTTCCCTCCAGAGTTCCTAGACACTCAGTGTCTGGGGTAGGGACTGTGCTACTGCCCATAGTGCAATCTCAGCTGGAGTTTGCACATTGTTAAGGGAACAGCTTACTCACTCGGCAGCCCATGCCTCCACCAGCAGTGTCTGAGCCACTTCCCTTTTCCTGTTTCTCTTATTTGCGTTCAGTTTGTAGCTCTCACAGTGGGCCATAATGCTTCTGATTTTACCAAGCATGCTTGTTAGTTTTCTTGGAGTCAGGGGAAGGTTTATCTGCAGGACATAACTTGCCACCTGCTCGATGTCTTCTGGAGGCACACTCTCATCTGCAACAGAAATTGAGCTTGAGACGTTCTGAAGTGCATGCTTTCTCCCAGCAAATGCAAAGGATCGTTATGGTTGCCTAGACATCGAGCTGTGCGGCAGAATAAAGCTGACAAGCACAGTGAGGGGGTAAGAGAATTACCTCCAACATTTTGTGAATTAATATTATGCTTCCAGGTAGTGCTGTTAGTGTTGTCAGAGCTGGCTGAACTGAGGATTTGAACTCACTTTGAACTAGGTTATTAAAATTCTGATGCAGAACTGAACGCACAGAAGGCTTTAAGTCGGTGCACCACGCAGCCAGATGTGTCAGAGCCCATTTCTCCCTTGGCCCCCAGATCAAAGAGGCACTGGGGAGACCAGGCTGTGAGTGAGACTTTCCAAGCCAGCTGGTGGGGGTAATCCATTCCCTAGAGTTGCCACAGTGCTCAGAAAGAGGTTCCTTCACAGGTTAATGAGGAAGGCTAAGCTGCAGAGAGGGATTTGGGCCAGGCTGAGATAGGGTGGGAATTCAGAGTGAGAAAAACATATTTTATCAACTCCTCTTCCAAGTACTCCCATTGCAGTACTAGTAGTGCTAAGAGGGGCAGGTACACTGGGTCAGAGGAGCCAACGCTTTGCCATGTCTCATCATCACGTCTTTTTTCTACTCCCCTTTGTGGACAAAACCTTGGGTGATAGTGCAGTTGAAACATATTATGTGTTTGTGCTAATGCTCCAAAGTAACCGATGGACAATTAAATACAAGTGCAAACAGCTGTGCATTTCAGAGAGCTGTCTTCTCTCAAAATGCATTCATCTAAAACTGCCATGCGAGTCAGTGTACGGTACAGTAGATTTGATGTAACTGTATCCATTTGATCCGCCACGGTGCATAAACTTCAATTTACTAACAAAAAATTCATGAAGAAATGCATTTGCAATGATTAGTAAATGCCATATGTCTTCTAAGAACACATAAAAAAAGGCCAAGGATGATGTTGTCAATTGCTACCAAACAAAAATATGAGAACATTGAGGACTGAAATTTTTCTTCACATTCTGTAAAATACCTTAAATATTCCTTAACAAAGAGAGCCCTCAGCACTCACTGCTGTTTGGATGTAGAGGCGTGAATGCCAAAGGATTGCCAGCATGCAGTCCTTAGGGAATGAGCAGATCAGCTACATGCAAGAGATTACAGAAAATACGAATGTATTTCAAGTCCTTTTATATGCATCTGATTAAAAAAACAAAAACTAACAGGCAACAAAACATCTCTGCAATTGAGAGGATGGAAAAGGTTTTAGGGCATATATTGTTTTGTTATTTTTTATGAGTGCTGAACTTCTACCAGAATCCTTTGATTCCTCGAGTTACTGCTTTAGAGGATGGAGCAGTTTGTCACTTTGTGTCCTAATTCCCACGCTCCCTACAGAGAGCCCCTATGGGCCGGGAAGAAGGGGGTGGAATAACAATTTGAGGATGCACTGAATATGCCTGGACGTCATACATTGTATGAAATTATATTAGTAGCCTTTACTCAACTAACCCAGGAACTGAGGGAATTACTTGCCTACTTCAATTTAGGCAAATTAAGAAAATATGACTATTAGAACGTGGCAAATCAATGGCAAAAATAATAGAAAATGCTGTCCTCTAGGAGAAAGAAATACTAGAGAGAAAGAAATTGAAAAAAAATGCACAGATCTGGAGGGAACAAGAAATCTGATATGTATGCAGCTCAATCACTTTCTAGCCATCTATTGTTATAGCACACATGAATACATACTAAGGAAAAATGAGTCAGAAAGAACTTTCTCTGCATATTTACCTGACAAGAAGTTTTTCACTTTTCTGATAAATTCCTTTGTGACTTCTCGGTCAACTTTAATCTGGTTCTTAGCTTTCTCTAGTTCCCCATTGAAGTGTGAGCCTTTCAGCTTGGTGTCTTCTGCCATTTTTCTGATGCTTTCAACCTGGAGATACTATGAGAAACAGTAGCGGTGTTTTCTGTATTCATTGCTTGGCAAGGTGAGCTCTCACAGTGTGAGCTCCAAGTGGAGTCACTTGGCATGGCTTTGAAACACCTGTAGTAGGAGACTGCTTTGGGGAGCTCCTGAAGTTGTTACATAATGGCCTTTGTCTAGCCTAAGAAGAAGCCTAAATCAAGTATTTTTTTCCTTTGTGCAACCATCACCAAACCATTTCTAAAGAAAAAGCACTGACTTGCTTTCTGATGCAATGTTGTGATATGTCATTGATCTGATTCATTACATAATTTAATTTGCCTTTCTATGCTGGAGTTACATTAAAATGCACTTTTTAAAAGTACAAGAAAGCTAGAAATTAATACTTGTTTTTAAAAATTAAATTTTGCAATTAATTTAATATACGTGATTATTTAACTTAGTGCTTTAATTTAATTATCAAACTCCAATAGTATTTTGCTCTTCTGGGAGTTGTGCTTTGCTCTAAGGAAATGCTCAGGTACAGATGGAAGAAATTCCCTGTTTCCCCAGGCAGCAAGAAAAACAATGATGTTTCTACTTTGGCAACATCTGCAGGAGGGCCATTCCTGTTGTCCCTGCATGACTGGGGGCCTCAGAGTCTCCTGACTGCTCATTTCTACACCCGCTAACTGTGCAGTAGTGTGGTGTGGATTCTAAAAGGAGGAAATGGATGCCCAGGCACCATGCAGGGAGGGGACAAAGCCACTGCAGAAAGATGTTTCTATTGGAAAATGGCTTTTGCCTATCAGTGTCACAGGCATTTTCTCTGACTGTTAATGAGAACGAACTGTGGTTTCGGGATTTGTCTGTTTTGCTTCCTTTGCACATGTTGTGTTGGCCATGCTTTCCTTGAGTTATTTTTATAAATTGGAGCAGCTGAATACTTGATGCCCATATAGACATTACAGGGGGTAGAAAATATTTGGCTTGAAGTTATCTGCAAAAATTCCTTAATGGTAAATATAAAAGTAACATAAAATTATATACATTGATCTTAATGGTATGCACAGCAATCTTAATGGGATAAGCGTGGGCTGCTGGCAAATACTACCATTTGAATCTTTCTCAGTGACAATATAGACAATATTAACCTAATGTCACCATGTCCATTGGTACAGGACACCATGACTCATGAGACCTTGGCAGCTGTGAGGAAGGCATGGTTAGAGGCACTGTCCCTAGGTGGGAGTAGACTGTAATACTCCTGGCACTGCATCATGTCTGTGGTGTAAGGATGGAGTCCATCACCAGGTCACTCACTGCTCTTTGCCCAAGGAGCAAATGAGTTTTTGTAGATTTGGGGCTTGCTACTTCATCTCTGTTCATTTTAGCTATCTACAAGTCAGCTATCCAAATCTAAGCCAGGTGTTCATGCAATGTGGGGAAAAAAAAAAAGAAAAAAGAAAAAAGAAAAAAAGAAAAAAAAGCACCTTCAAGTAATTCATATGTATTCCTGAGACAAATAGCTAGGCTGGATAAAATGAAGCTGGAGCTGCCTGACTCCTTCCACTTACTGCATAAGGAGTACAGATGACTAGCTGTGATATAGCCAACAATATCCCTATGAAGGTGGGGGCACGACCCCACCCTTATCTTTCCCTCTGACTTTGGGAAGCAAGCTGCTCTTCTCTAATTTGCAAGTCTATGCTCTAACAGCTTTTACTCTTTAATATAAAACAGTATCCAGGGAGAGAAGAGGAAGAGCCTGCTTCGCAAAGGCAGCAGTGCCATGGGAAGCAACTCCCTGGTACTGAGGGCTTTAGCATAACTGTTGACTTAAAGCTGAGACACTTCTCATGAACGGTGTTTCCCAGGAATAGATTGCCCAGTTTCCCATCCTCCACGCATTGCACTGAACAAATGTAATTTTGATACACATACTTGATTCTCAGGGTCCTGTAGCTGAGTAGTCAAGTTAGTTAGCAGGACAGCAGTGTCCTCAGCTTTCCTGAATGCACTAGAGGAGAGAGGAAGAGCTCCGCTGCAGTTTGGGCCTCCCCCACAGGCTACTGCAGCACAGGAATGGTTTCCTGGCACCCCGCAGATCTGCAATAAGGAAAACATTTTGTCAGGACTTCTCTGGGTATCTGAGATACACTTCTGGTGGAAGGATGTTGGACAATGCATGGGATTTTCCCAGAGACCTAGTCAGGATATCTCCAAAATGAGATCACTGCCAGTGAAAGGATCCCTTTCCCTGACTTGAAGGATGCAATGACAGCTCATGGCTCTAAACCTCTCCTTCCAGCAGCCATCTGTTGAGCTCTATGTGTTATGCAGAGACCTTTGTTTTACTCTGTGGCAAAAGGTTGAAACTGTTCTCATGCTGTATCCAGCCCAAGGAGCATCCAAGTCTATCCAGTTGGTTCTGAAGGACCCGGATAATTTCTCCAAAACACAGTACCGTGCCTAAGACTCTACTCACTTTGACACAGATGTTGAGACTAAAGGCCAAGATGGATGTTCTGTTCTAGAACTAGCAGTGCTAGGGACAAAGTTCTTGTCCCTTCCTGTTCTACAGGTGCTACAAAGGACATGCAAACACTTCTCATCCACTCACGGGTTGCTCTGCTTAGGTTAAGCCACTGATAGAGGAAGTTGAGGTTAATCTTTCTGAATTTACACTGAAGCCCCCTTCAGACTGGAAAGTGCTTGAACATTTCCTGGTGCTGTGCCTGCCCTGGGAACAATGGCTGCCAGAAGGGTGTTAGTGACCACACTACCACAGCTGGGAATTGCAGCTGTGCCTGACATGACAGTAGGTCTGTGCCAGGGAAGTGTCCTTCTCCAGATTTAAAATGCATGTAATTATTCTTTTAAAATAAAAAAGACTAGTGGCATAAAAAGGAAGATTTTATTTAGTTCCCATTACAAACCCCCAGCACCTACCTTTTCAGCCAAGTGTTGAATGCCAGGGATCTTGACCAGTTTGAGCTGCTCCAGCACTCTGCTCCCTTCCCAGGCCCGCTTGTGCATCACAGTGAGCATGCTCTGCCTTGTGTGCTCCGAGTGCCTTACCACAGGGGCTGTCTCACGAGCTTTCTGTTCTGCCAGGAATGATACTTCAGAGTGTTTCCGAATGTTGTTGATGGCCTCTGCAGCAACAGAAATAGTGCTGAGTACCAACTGATTGCATTTGATTTTATTCATGTATTTACTTGAGTGCTGGAGCAATGGTGAGTGACAGGTCTGCTTGTGGTGATTGAAGTTGGACGGGAGGGATGGACAGAAACTGCCATTTCTTCATTCAAGTTTTCTAATCCTTTACTCAGACAAATACCAAACAGGGATAGTTATCAATACGCATAACACTTGCTACAATAGATGAAAATGGAGTGGATCCTATGTTATTCCTCAGAATTGAAGTTTAGGCAGGAAATCTGTTCACACCACTTGTAAATTGAAATGATAATCTCTGTGATTGTGGCTCAAGGAAGCATTTGTCCTCCCCATTTTCAGCATGGTACCCAAAAGTTAAAGTCTTCTGGGCCAAAATATAGATTATAAATGGAAATGTATTACTTTTCTTTGGCTCTGGAGAAATACAAGTTCAGAGTTGATGTACTGAAAAGAAAGAAAGCATTTCCATGATAAGCCTTTAGAGCAGGCAATGAATGCTTTCTTGTTTGCTTAATGTAAGCTTTTCCTCAAGTAGAGACTCAAAACCATGGAGAATATATATATATATATATATATATATATATTTTTTTTTTTTTCCCCCAGTTGAATAGCCTAAAGAAACGAATCAGGCTTTTTGCAAAACACGCAATTTAAAGTTACTGCTGTCAGATCTCCAGGGAACCCAAAGTTTTCCTCAAATTGTCACGCAGAAGTATGTGCAATGATCCAGAACTGATGTTTTGTTAGTGCAAAAGCATTAGAGGTCATTGATTAACATCTCACTGGGCTGGTAACAACTCAGTTACTGGTTGAAGTCAATGAGAACACTCTCGTCAGGTCCTGCCTGTTTTTTACCAGGCTCTAAAGCTCTTGGTCTTGCTTTGGCTGAAGCAGAATGATGTGTAGTTGTATGGAACTTAGGCTATTTGTTTTATTTTGTACCTCTTGGAAACAATGTACAGTTTAAAGCTAGATTCTAATACAAAGTACCTGGCAAGAGGCTGCTCTAAGCAAGAGGCTGTTTTTTTATGCAATAATTCCATTGCAGAAATATTTTACAGTGGTTCAACTCTTCGTTAAATGGCCCAAACACATTTTTTATGCTTGGTTTGTGATGGAGCTGTAGGGATTCCAAAGTTCCTTTATGTTAAACACAGTTTCTTAGCACAGACTTGATTTACAGCTCAGGGATCCGGGCTCATCACATTACAATGCCACAGTGGCTGCAAAACCAGGGAACAAGACTGGAAAGAGGTAATTTAATGAGATTTCATAAACTGCAAGAATTCTTGTTAGGACACTCGTGTCTTTTTTTTCTTTTTGCAGGGAGTTCAATCATTATTAACTGTTGACATTTCCAACTCAGGCAGCTGAGTATATGCCCATGAGGTGGTTCAAGAAAAGTCCTGAACTCTCATTTCACTTGAACCTCTACAAAGAGAGGTAGGCAGGAGCCCATTTCCCCACATGTGCCTGGTGCACAGGTGTCAAATGTCCCCCAGATAGGCATATCTTCCATCCTGCTCTGTCCCACTTCCTTGGGCCAACAAAAAAGCAGGAGAAAAAAAGCAGACAGGGCCATAGCCTGAATCGTCCTGAAATGATGAAGGGATGAGGGAACCAGGCTTTCTCCCAGGCATTGGGGAAGGTGGCTTTCTTGAGGGAAATGTTATTTCTGTCCTGCTAGATGCTTGGTAGCAGCACCAATGAATATTTGCGGCCCTGACCAACAATTCAGCTTAAATTCAAGGTCTTCCCCTCCCCATACCCCTGTGTGCTTTTTATAGGGCTGTTTATCTGCCCCCAGAGGCCAAAAGATGAAAAAGCCTTGGAATGTGACCAGAGAGCACTGCAGATGGTTCAGCTGCGCATCCACTGAGCTCCCTGGGATTTATTGTTTCTTTGCCTTCCTGCCTTCTCAGAGTCAGCACAAGACCCAGTTGAATTAGGACGTGGTGACTGTGATGGCTGTGCTGACTGCATACGTGGGACTTGAGTAGAAGACTGGTCCCCCGGGCACTGCCAAGTATAACAGTGCAAAGAAACCTTAAATCTCAATTAATCCCTCTTATCCCTTTTCCTTTCCCTTGGCTTTATATACCATTGATCTTCTCTTCATTTTTTTAGTCCTGTTTAGTCCAGTCTTCTTCTTGCTTGTACAAAACATGAAAGATCTCAAAGTGGGTTTGCACTGCCTTTAAATTCTATTTTCTGTGCTCACTGTAACATCTGGGGGCTCATACCTTAGCAGCCACCTCTCTGGTCAGATGGTGGAGTGTATACTGCTGAGAGTCTCCTGCTGTTGTGGATCTAGTTAGAATCTAATCAAGATCCCTGAATCATACGTTCCTGTCTTTTTCCAGAATTCATGAAGCCTGTGACATTGTTATTATTGCCATTAGCAGCTGATGGAGACTATACTTAGCTCAGGCACAGACAGTGTAATTATTTAAAAAATGCCAAGGAACTCGGTTCTGTTTTCACATTTTGTGATGATGGAGAGCCAGTTCCTTACCACATAAAGTCATGTATTTTCTCATGGGAACACTGAGAAGTTGTTCTACGACTCTCTGCTTTAATTAAACAAACCATTGCTGCACAACATTTTTTAAGTATTGCTAAGAGCAAGAGGAGTCAGAAACAGGGAAAATATCCTTTTCTCTTCTACTGTATGATCTGAGAGTCTATAAAGCGAAACTGGGTGGCCTTTAAATCCTGATGGAAACATTTGGGCTCATGAGATTTTTTACTGATATGATCATGCATACATCTGCATCTGAAATGCAGGATGCTGGAAATCAAAGCATTTTAAAACAAAATGGAGTTTGGAAAGTTACTATAATAAACTTTATAGTATTTGAATTTTTGTAATACCACATGGAACTAAAATCTAAGGATCTTTGAAATGTTGCATGGCTCAGTAGTGAGAAAAACATTGTGAAATTTCATGGCATACGTTCATCTATTTCAGTACTGGCTGCCTTACCTTTGAGGCTCAAGTAATGAAAAGTGCGATGCAGATCTAATTTCTGTTGTAGAAGTTCATAGACACGATCAGCTTCTTCACCAATGTCTTCAATGTTCTCAGTGAGGTCAGGAAATTCATATGGCATACTACGAATCGGACCCATTTGTGTAATTTGTTGTCTACAAGAGAAGTGACAGTTATGCAGAAGCCAGACTGAACTGCTCTTAAACAACTGAGGTACACACTATTTTAGAGGACAAGAGATAAATTTCTAAATGAGCAGAAACATTTACTTGTAATGACTTAGGAAAACATTAGGAACAGGGAAATTCCAACATTTACTTATATGCTTTAGGGGAGCCGTATGTGAAATAATCAGAGAACAGAATCATAGAATCCTAAATCGGAAGGGGCCTGTAAAGGGCACCTAGTCCAATTTCCCTCCAATAAACAGGGACACATACATTTATCTCTCTGTATATCTATATAGGTTATTTTGTTCATGGATCTACTGAAAGCAGAAGATTAGCGCTCCAGCATCTTTTTCTGATTAGAAGAGGGATTTGAAGAGTAGGGCATGGGGGAAGCCTGGGGGAAGACTGCTTTGTCAGCCAAGGGATTTTAGCAGGGCAGCAGAGCCCTTACTGAAGATAGCCATGAAAATCCTTGATGCTTGAGAGTGCCTTCCATGAAAAAACAGGACGTTTCAAAATTCTTTCAATTTCAGAAATGGCATCTTCAAAGGCTTTGAATCGCATGTCACAGCTGGGCATCCGTCCTCCTTTATCTTCTAGGCTTGCAGCAAACCTCATTAACCCTTGAACAGTCTGGGCGAGGGCAGTAATTTCAGTGTCCCACTCATCAAAACAAAGGTGACAGTGACGGCAAGAGGGAAAGTCTTTCTCGAAGCCACGGCCACACTGGTCGCAGAACCGCCCAGTGACACCAGCACGGCAGTTACACACACCAGTGGCTTTGTCACACCGAGGCCAGCTGGTTCCCTCTGGGTTACAGTTACATGCTGCAAGAAAGGGACAGCAAGTTATATGCAATATTGCAGCTCCTTTTCTGCAGGAGTAAGGCGTACAGAAGGCACAATCATGTATTTTAACGCAAGAAATAGAAACTGGTTTTCTTTTCTGCTCTTTGAGCCCACTTGGCTGGATCTGCCAAGGGACAACACTACCTTGCAGGGTGGGACTCTGATGTATGGGGTTTATTTTTCTTGATAGGTTTCTACCAGAGCTTTTGACTTGGAACAAGTTGGAGTGTTCCCCCACTCTGCCCAACTCTGCTATTCTAGCACTGCTTCCCTGTTCTTTTACACTAAAGGGAAAAACAGATGCTAGCTAACTTCAGCCACCCAAAGGCCACCATGTATCGTGTGTCAATCATCTAGGCTCCTTCAGTAGCAAAGAAGAGAAGCAGGTGCACCTAAAAATCAATCTAAATCGGTACTCATAGAATCATACTGCATTCCAGGTTGGAAGGGACTCACAAGGATCATCAAGTCCAACACAGCATCACCTAAATTTCAAACTCTATGCCTGAGAGTATTGTCCAAACTCCTTGAACTCTGGCAGCTTGGGGCTGTGACCACTGCCCTGGGGAGCCTGTTTCACTCTCTCAGTGAAGAACACTTTTCTAATAATCAGAACAGCAAAAGCTGGACAAAAAATAGTCTTTGGAGACGCTTATCTACCTGCACTGCCTGGAAAATTCACCACTGATCAGAGGAGCTCAGACTAGGTCAGACTAGGCTTTGGAACAGCTAATGTCAGGTGAGATAAATCCCTTCTGATACCTCATCCCAGTGCTCCCTGGGCTGGGGAGCTGTGTGCTGAGAGCTGAACTACATACTCATTCTGCAGCCTTCAGCTAGCACAGCCCATTTCTAAATATCAGAGAATGAAACCAGTGTTCAAGTCAAAGTGAAGGGGATGGCCTTCACATCAGGGGAAGTCTAATGGCTTTTCTTCAGCTCTTGATTATTCCATGGTTCCACCAAAACTGCAGAAGGAACAACACTGACAAACAATATAAACAACTTAATCATTTCATACACTGAAATGTATCTGTTTCTCTGGATATAAGTTTTGTCTCGTCTATGAATAAAGGCACAAACATTTATTTTGAGGCAGTTTCTAGCCCAGTTATAATACTTACAAATGCAATGCTTCTGGGGATTGCCAAAGTAGTTTTCCTCACATTCGTTGCAGCGTTTCCCACCATAGCCTACCTTACACAGACACTGGCCTGTAAGCTGGAAACAGTTCAAGTTTTAACAACTGCCCTTGTAGTATGACTGCATATACATTATTTACTGGATTTCTTCTTTGCTCTGTGACTTTTATTATATAGCTTCATGGGGACCATAGTGACACTGCTTCTGCATGTTGTTTGAACATGGTTCAACGTGATAAACTTCCTTTACCATCTTCATACTGAAGGATGTTAAAAAAAAATTACTCTGAGAGCTGGCTTTTCTTTACTAATATGAGAGGTTTCATATGGTCAAGTCTGATCTTTGAGAATGCATCCTCTGACTATTATCTGAGAGAGGATTTTTTCTTCTTTTGCAGAAAAGATTGATGGCTTATTTTTGCTGGAACAAAGTACTCATCTTAACATTTCAACTTTTAACTACATGATAGATATATTGCAATGGAAAACCTCCAGGGTACATTATGCACATTGCCCTAGAAAAATTTGTTTTGGAATTCAGTGCTGAAATGAAACTGCAGGGAATTACAGCTCTGATAACTCAGAAAAGCAGTAGTAGTTCTTCTGTGTGAAGGGCTACGTTTTGTAGGAAAAATAATAGCTCCACTAAGTAAACCACGACAAACAGCATATTGAAAGGAAAATGTGAAAGCACGTCAGCAAGAGCTTGGTGCAACGTCCTGGTGCTATGAAGTCAATAGCAAAATGGCTGTTGTCTCCATGAATCACAATTTCAGCTCTCTATTCTGAAGTACTGTTTTATTTTTTCTACCTTCTTGCTCTAGAAAATGCCCAAGAATTAAAAATGAGAAAAGATACAGTAGTAGCCAGATTGATGATGCATGACTGATGTAATGACCACTGCTCTTTGTGAAAAGAAACCCTTAAAAAACCAAACACATGCAAGACTCTTAAGGTCCAAGCCTGGACTTCATCTTCCCTGTATGTACACTTATGGGGCAGTTTTTCCTTGTGTCATTTTCTCATGTATTTCTATGATCCACTTTAAAAGGAAACATACAGGCAAAGAGTAATTGCTTACAAGTAAAGCCGCAGTATCAGAACAGCACATGTAATATAATGGCTCCAAGCCAAATTACGCCAACCGCGAGTTTCCAAAGACTTGTTGTTTCTGGAAAGCATGACAAAAATCCATCCCCATATGAGAAGGTCCCAACCGTGTCATGCCAAAACATTGCCCTCCCAGTTCCCAGAGAGCAGAGTAATTTCCTTGCCTGGTCACACTGGCTACTTTGGGTGTTTTTCACGTTACAGTCACAGAGCTGACATCCTTTTCCTCCAGCCAGGTCCCAGTAGCCCGGCGCACACTGGTCGCATGTTGTACCAACTACGTTGGGCTGACACGGGCAAGCTCCGGTGGCTGGGTCACACAGGCAGGCTGCATCCCCTCCAGGGCATGTGGCAGGGAGGACACCTGCAGGATTGCACTTGCAGACTGGAAAGAGAAGGACAACTGCTACAGCAGATGGTGATACAAATGGCTGATGGACAATCAGAACTGTACATGGAAGCACAGTCTGTAGGCTCACAGAATGGTTTGGGTTGGAAGGGATCTTCAGTATCCACCTAGTCCAACCCCTTGCCATTGGCAGGAGCACCTTCCACTAGATCAGGCTGCTGAAAGCCCCATCCAATATGGCCTTTAATACTTCCAAAGATCCACAGCTTCTTTGGGCAACTACTTCTAGTATCTCACCATCTTTGTTGTGGAATTTTTCTTCTTTATATCTTATCTAAATTTGCCATCTTTCAGTTTAAAACAATTGCCCCTTGTCCTGTTAGTACAGACTAAAAAGTCTGTACTAACTAAAAAGTACTTAGTAAAAAGTCTTTCTCCATCTTTCTTATAAGCACCTTTTAAGTACTGAAAGACTCCAGTAATGTCTCCTCAGAACCTTCTTCAGGATGAACAAGCCCATCTCCCTCAGCCTGTCTTCATAGGAAGGGTGCTGTGGCCCTCTGAGAATCTTTGTGGCCTTCCCTGAACCCGCTCTGACAGCACCGCATGCCTCTTGTGCTGGGGGCCCCAGGCCTTGACACAGTACTGCAGGTGGGGCCTCATCAGAGTGGGGTAGAGGGAAATAATCACCTCCCACAACCTAGTAGTTACGCTTCTTTTGATGCAGCTCAGGATACGATTGGCTTTTCAAGCTACAAACACACACTGTTGGCTCATATCCTATGTTTTATCCACTCGGGACTATTCCCAAGTCCTCCTCTTTCTATTGTGGTTTTGTCTACAGCGTTGAACAAACTCACAGAGAGCTTTTACTACTTTTAATATAGGCACCAAAAGCTGAAGTTGTAGTGCATTTTGAATCTTGTTAGCATGAAATGCTAAATATGTTGGATAAGGAAATGCTGATTTACAGTAGACACTATGCAGTGTGGGAAACCCCAGCAACGGGTAAGCCAAGTAAGATAAGAAGCCTTCCTTGTGAGGAGCCAAAAGTTCTTGCTAAATTATTTCTAGCTGACATCTTCCAAAGATGAATGAGGTATGGGCTTGAACTGTATTTCAGAGATTTCCAGAAGAAGGACGTCTTGAAAATAGTTATGTTTTGTGGCCTGTACAAATCTTCAATTAACATTTGTGAAAACGACCTTCTATAAACTCTGAGGAGAAACTTATGCTTTGCATTTACTTGTACTCCTTCCCTTCTGCTCAAAATGCTGTTACTGGCAGTGCTCTCGTGAGGACTATTAAACCGCCTGAGCAGCCTCTTTCTAGCTGTATCATTAAAACAACTGGCAAGGCAGGGAGCTCAGCAGGGGATCATCTGGTTAACTGAGCATTGCTTAGCTGGCATCAGCCTGCAACATGGATAAACAATTATCTTTGATTCCTTTAATTTTAATTTCTCCCTGACTGGGATGAATGCACATTTATTTTTCAACAAAGAATAGTGCTTTCAGTTCAGGTGAGCATTTCCTAGGGTTGATATTCAGCACAAGATTTAGGCAGGCCTGCATGAAAAACACAGAACTTAATAGATTCCATATTAATAGTTATTTCTAGCACTGGGAAGGAATTTCTTCAGTACTTGCATATTTGCATATCTACTTTGGTTTTTTTAAACTAAGGTCTAACCTCTCCCTATAAGCCTAATTTCCTTGTAACTTCTCTTGCTGGCAATATACAGTTGCAGAGCTGTTGCCCACTTACTTTGGCAGTCCTGATCGAGGGCTGAGCCAAAATACCCAGGTTTGCAGAACTGGCAGTTTGCTCCATGGGTGTTGTGCAAACACTTGATGCATTCCCCAGTGACCCTGTTACAGGACTCCGGGTCTGTCACATCAATGTTGTTGTTGCAGGGACATGGTGCACATTCCTCCCCTGGGCTTCCTGGGATTTTGTAGAACCCGCTAGGACATTCATCACACCGGCTGCCTGTCAGGAAGGTACAAACATGTGCTGCCTAATGAGAATTCAAGAGGATCATGCAGTTTCTAATAATACTGCTAACAGGCTCAGACTGTCTATTCAAATGCACAGTTTCAATGGGAAATACCCACCTGTTTGAAATCTTTAATAATCCTATGATCAGTTAAAATTATATCTCTCATACTGCAATCTGATGGGAATGCACCCTCCTCACTGCAAGGGGCAAGTTGGTGTCACTGGGACCTTGTCCAGTGGTTCATCCTTGCCCGAAGACTTTGCTCTTTCATCACTGTCCCCAGGTCCAGAGCCTTCCCCAGTCTCCAGAAGGGTAAGCCTGGTGCCATAGGAGTAACCAAGAGCCTCACCAGGATGAAACAAGAGGAAGAATGTTCAGAACTGAAGACATCAGAGGTCTGTGAGGACAACAGTCCCCTGGGAAAGTACCAGCAAGAATCATTTTGGCCCGGCAGTGTTTCTTCAGGCAAAGCTGCTCTTGACTTATACAGGAACCTGGCTTAAAAAAAGGTGACAGTATGTGCTTTTAGCTCCATTGCAGGAGGTGTTCATAACCAACAGGGGAAGAAAATGCTTCAAATTTTCCCTGTGGAAATTCAAGGTGAGTCAATGGGATCTTTGGAAGGAAAGCATCAGTTTGCTGTAAAAACAGCTGTGTTTGGGACAGCCCAGAATGCCCCTCTCTGCAGCAGCCATTCCAACAGTGACACAGTCACTCTTGGGCATGATGTCAAAGCACATCTTTATTTTGCTCCTTACCTGAATATCCCTCAAGACAATTGCAGACTATCTGTGAAGTCTGGGAGTCCTGGTAACAGGAATGTGCAAAAAACCTCTTGCTTGTGGGTACTCCTGGGCACATGCATGGGCGGCAAGGTTCTCTGTTGGAAGGTTTTCCATAATAGCCATCGATGCACCTGTCAAAGCAGTCAAAAATATATACATATATTGAAATCATTCATGCTCTGTCTGCCATGTTTTGCAAACCTGGGGTGACTGATGGCTCCTCTAATGCTGCGGTCTGTCCAGACAAACAGGCAACACAGAGGCTTCTGAAGCATCACTGGTCTTTAATCTGCTTTACTATAGCAAATGGGAACACAGTTCTGTATATTTATGCAAGCCATGCTGAAGGTCTTGGCTCTCTGATTATCCTCATCCCAGGGTGTGGATCTCCTGTGGAGGCATGCCAGCAAGTTTTTCAGTCTTTTTTAACCCACTTGCTACCTACATGCACAATAGCTAAAGGTAGTATTGTCCAAATGTATTGCAAGAACAGCTCAATGGGTTTCATTTGGAAATCCTCTTAAAAGGCAATGACACAGCACAGTCTAGCCAAATCAAACTGACCAGCCAATGAATTCAGTTCTGATGTCCGCGCTGAACTCTGTACCTCCACCAGAGCACAGAACTAAAAAGGAGCATTGTTTGGAGTGGAGATGGAAACACGTGGGAAAAGTCATTTGTTGGTCATACAGAAATGATATGAATCAGCAAACAGGGCACATTTATTTAAGCTCCTTGGAGATAACTGCAGGTGTTAAAATGAATATTCAGCTCTAATTAAGTCTCTTGGCAATTTAAAAGCCAGAGCAGACCTGGTATTGCGGGTCCAGTACCTTGCACAGGCCCTGGAACACATCACACAGAGCACCCATGTCTCAAATTCCATCTTATGGGGAACCCACTGCAGTGCTGCAGGCATGCTGTGCCGCTGCCCATCCCAGAGGACAAACCTTCTTTCTTACATTTACCCAAAAATGGATGCTTGCCACTTAGGAATGAGACCCAATTTAACTCTGGTTTTAGCTATGATTCCCGCTAAGGTCATTGATGCATTGGTGGAATGTAGGTGAGGCCCCAGCAAAGCATGTATTTCAGAGAGCTGGTTTTCATGTGAGCTGTGCAGTGCTGCCCATCCCCTCACCTTTCACAGTGCCTTCCAGCTGTAAACCTGCTGCAGTTCAGGCACTCGCCGGTCACTGGGTGGCAAAGCTCTGCGAAGCCGTGACACGGGCAAGGACGGCAGTGGGGAAACCCAAAATACCCAGGCAGACATTGGCTGCAGCGCCGGCCATCAACATCCCGGAGGCAGGCACACTGCCCTGTCACCTGGTCACATAGTGAGCTCACTGAGCCCCGCGGGTGGCACTCACACGCTGCAAAAAAACAAAAGCAAAGCTGTACCCTCAGCAAGTCTCCATCACCCAGCCATCACTGATCCTGCTTGAAGGTGGGGGCAAGCAGTGGGGGATGGCAAAGTTGTTAAATATGGAAATTGTTTTTGTATTCCTTCATGAAGAAAAGGATCTGTGGAGGTTAATTCACAGTTGGATGAACTTGAGCCAGTAGTATGCCCAGGTAGTGAAGAAGGCCAAAAGATCCTGGCTTGTATCATAAATAGTGCAGTCAGCAGGAGCAGGGAGGTGATCATCACTCTGTAGTCAGTGCTGGTGAGTACCTTCAGTGCTGGAGTGTGAGACCCTGGAGTGAGTCCAGAAAAGGGCACCAAAGCTGTGAGAGACTGGGCTGTCTGAGGCTGGGATGGTACAGTCTGGAGTAGTTAAGGCTCAGGGGAGACCTTATCACTCTTTACAGTTGTCTGAAAGGAGCTTGTGGTGAGCTGGGGGTCTGCCTGTGCTTCCAGGTAATAGCAATAGGAGGAGAGGGAATGGCCTTAAGTTGTGCCAGGGGAGGTTCAGGTTACTAGGATACTAGGAACAATTTATTCTCTGAAAAAGTGGTGAGGCACTGGCACAGGCTGCCTAGAGAGGTGGTGCTCCCAGAGGAGTTCAAGAAATGTGTATATGTGGCACCGAGGGGCATGGTTGGACTAGATCTTAGATCTTAGATCTAGATCTAGATCTTAGAAGTCCTTTTCAACCTTTGTGATTCTATGATTCAATGAACAATAGTGGTTTGAAAGCCCTAAAGAGTTGGGGTGTGCACAGAAAGCCAAATACTGATACTGGTGCTGGTGGTGGTACGGGTGAAGATAGTGGTGTCAGTACTGGGTGCTGAGTACTCACGGTAGCAGCCATGGAAGCCGAAGCCATAGCTGCCTGCAGAGCAAGTGTCACAGCAGCGCCCCACTACATTGGCTTTGCAATGGCACTGGCCGCCCAGTCTGCTGCAGCTGGCATTCAGAGAGCCCTGGGGATTGCACTTGCATGCTGCCAACAGGAAAGAAAATCAAGTCAGGTTTGGTTAAAAACCAAAGGAGTGTAGTTGTAAAAATCTTGCAGGTTTTGGACTTGAAGGGAAGATTCTGACTACCACTCATTGGAGGTTCACTAATCACAAAGGTTGTGATTACAGCCATGGCTTGGGTTGATGCTACAGGCAATGATGCATCACCAGCACACATCTTGGTGTTGGAACACCATGCTCAGGGCACAGCCGCAGCCTATATTTGGGACAGGCCAGAAAAAGGTGTAGAGAAAGGTAGGTCTACACAAAGATACCCTGAAGTCTAGAAGTATTTGATATAAACCTGCATCCTGCTGTGGCGCTGGACATGATGAGCAAGTAGTGCTTTTAGACTGGATAGAATGATGAAGTTTTTTACAATAAGGGTACTGAGGCACTGGCACTGTTTGCTCTGAGACGTGGAGAAAGCCCCATCCTTGGAGATGTTCAAGGTTAGGCTAGGTAGGGCTTTGAGCACTTGGTCTGGCTGTAAGTGTCCCTGTTGCAGGGGAGTTGGACTAGATGACCTTTAAAAGTCTCTTCCAACTCAAACAATTCTATGGCTTAGCCAACCTCTATTTGCTGCTTTCTGGACACCTCTGACTATCTTACTGAATGAAGCTGCTCTGCTAACCCACAGGGAATGTTTGTCCAGGACACTCAGACGCCAGTGCTAGAAAGACAAAGTGAGAAAACCCCATCACTGTGGAGAGCAGATTTACAGGCGAGTCAGCACAGCCCAAACTTAAGTGGTTCTGGACACTGTCCAAAGCTTCAAACCCCACCTGTTACTGCCCTCACTCTGGGATACCGCTGAGGTTTTCTTGCTGAACATCTTGCAGCAAATCAGCCTGTATGCTGCTGTGCCTGGAGTATTACCAAGCATCCAGCTGGCCTGCTGCTTCTGGGGAGAGAGCTTAAAATCCTCAGTCATTTTCTACCAGCCAAAATTAACCAAACTTTTTGCTTTGGCCATTTAGTGAAGTTGGTTGCAGCACTCTTCAGAAAACATACAAGCATTGAATTGCTTGTGTGCTCTTGCAGCTTGGAAGGCCAATGGTATCCAGGGCTTCATCAGAAGAGGAGTGGCCCTGGACGTGATTGTCCCTCTCTACTCTGCCCTTGTGAGGCTCCATCTGGAGTGCTGCATCCAGGTCTGGGGCCAAGAAAGACAGGAGCTGTTGGAGGGGGTCCAGAGGAGGGCCACAAGGATGATCAAAGGGCTTGAGCACCTCCCCTACGAAGGCAGGCTGAGGGAGCTGGGCTTGTTCAGCCTGGAGAAAAGAAGGCTGTGGGGTGACCTGATTGCAGCCTTTCAGTAGCTAAAGGGAGCCTATGAACAGGAGATGAGTCAACTCTTTGAAAGGGCAGATAACAGCAGATAACAGGACAAGGGGAAAAGGTTTTAAGTTGAAGGAGGGAAGATTTAGGCTGGATATCAGGGGGAAGTTCTTCAGAGAGTGGTGAGGTGCTGGAAAAGGCTGCCCCGAGAGGTTGTGGATACCCCGTCCCTGGAGGTGTTCAAAGCCAGGTTGGATGGGGCCTTTAATACTAGCCTGGTCTAGTATTAAAGGTGGAGGTTGGTGGCCCTGCCTATGGCAGGGGTGTTGGAGTTTGATGATACTTGAGGTCCCTTCCAACCCAAGCCATTCTAGATTCTATGATTCTGTGATTGAGATGGGTTTCAAGAGCCTTGGCTTTTCAGTAGCCAAGCCACATGAAGATGTTTGCGGCATGCTTAGGGTTGGATATCCTGCATGCCCATATGGGTTTCATTGATGTACATCACCTCAGAGCTCTCAGCCAAATGTCCAACAAAATGAAGAGAAAAAAGCAGTGCCCAGGCAGCTGCCTGCATGCAGGCCTTACCAACAGCGCCATGGTGAAGGCGGGCTGACATGCTGGCTATCAGCCGGGCGCACACCTCAGGCAGCACATGAGGTCCAACTTCTGATGCAGTTTCGACACAGTGATACTTCTGGTAGTCATCTAAATCCTTTTTGCTGCATAAGTTCTCCATGGAGTTGATTCTGGGAATAAGTCCAAGCTTTGGCGTTAAGAGGAAAGGAAAATATTTTTGCTTAGATATGCTGAAAAGCAGAATTTCCCACATCCTCTGACAGTGCTGTGCATGGCAAGGACGAAGGCCTGCAGCACCGCATTTCTAAATCTAAATTCACGTTTATTCTGAAGGTCTAGACAATCTCCAAGTTCTTCAAAGAAAAGAGATTGTGTACAGAGAAGGCAGGTTATAGTAAGGCCTCGGATACAAGGTCAGAAATGTTGTTGCTGCTAAGAGGTGCCATGTTTACAACTCTAATAGCAGCATTCTGCCAAAAATTTTACTTGCACTACTGTGATAGGGAAAAAAAAATCAGCTGCAGACTCTATGTCCAAGTATGGCCAGCCTTTGCCAGGTCCAGTTTTATGAAAATAATTAGAGGAATGAATATTGAAATACTTTTCTCAAGAGAAGGACCCAAAACCAACACCCACTTTCTGCCTTGTTGGAAACTTGGAAAATGTCTGTACACAATTCCCAGGAAAATACAGAACTAACTTTACTTTTCCAATGTCACGGCCCATCTCTAAATATATCCTGCTTTTCTAATTGGATTCAGCTGTATTATGACGATTTTCAAAACCTCTAGGTGAATGAAGAACTGAAGAATGTGTCCCTAACCACAGCATCTTGTTGGCATATGTGAAGTGTGCTCATAATGAATGAGCAACCAACGGAGGTACATACACTGCCTATTAACACATACAACACTTCTGACTTGATGAGCTGCTACAGTATTGCTCCATAAAAATGTTAAATGATATAATTCTATCTCTCCATATACAAACATAGGAAGCCAATACCAATGGAGGGAAAGAGAAGCACACTTCCCTGAATTTCTGATAAAACACATTATAAATGACTTTGAAATGTTTGGGTAAGTCTGTTTAACAAAACAAACATACAAACAATTGGGCTCCATCAAAAGAGGGGTGGCCAGCAGGGACAGGGAGGTGATTGTCCCCGTCTACTCTGCTCTTGTGAGGCCTCATCTGGAATACTGTGTCCAAGTGTGGAGCCCCCAGTACAAGAAAGACAGGGAGCTGCTGGAGAGGGTCCAGAGGAGGGCCACTAAGATGATCAGGGGACTGGAGCAGCTCCCATATGAAGAAGACAGGCTGAGGGAGCTGGGCTTGTTCAGCCTGGAGAAAAGAAGGCTGTGCAGTGACCTCATTGCAGCCTTTCAGTACCTAAAGGAGCCTATAGAGGGGAGGGGAATCAACTCTTTGAAAGGGTTGACAACTGCAGGATGAGGGGAATGGCTTTAAGCTGAGTGAGGGGAGATTTAGGTTGGATGTTAGGGGGAAATTCTTTACAGAGAGAGTAGCGAGGTGCTGGAACAGGCTGCCCAGGGAGGTTGTGGATGCCCCGTCCCTGGAGATGTTCAAGGCCAGGTTGGATGGGGCTCTGGGCAGCCTGGTTTAGCGTTGAATGGGGAGGTTGGCGGCCCTGCATGTGGCAGGGGGGTTGGAGATTCATGATCCTTGAGGTCCCTTCCAACCCTGGCCATTGTGTGATTCTGTGAAACAAAAGCAATGAAACAAAAAACATTTCAAAGTATAAATTATAAACTAAGAAGTATAAATGCAACCTCTTGGGAGTTGAGACAGCATTACTCACAGAGTCAATCAAGATGAACGGTTTAGCCTTTGGGTCAGAGGCAGAAGGCTGAGAAAAATATGCATCCACAGAGTACTGGGTTCCTGGCTCCAGGCAGACTGGGGTCTGCAGCAGGGCAATCCTGGTTAGCAGAGACACAGCACTATCACAGCCAGCATAGAGCAGGACAAGGCAATCTGTGGGGTGCTGCTAGCTCTCCCTGCCCTCCCACCTACTCTCTACTATTTACATAGGCACAAACTGAAAAACTGGTTTTGAAAATAGGCTAGGATGGTGTCTTAAGGTCAGTATTCCCTTCCTATACTGAAATAGCTTTAGCTGGACATCCACTAAATAAATCAGTCCCAGCAGAGCCTACGGCTGCTCTCCTGGCTATGGCAAAACACTGCCAGGCTGGGATGGGGTCATCTGCTTCTTCCTGCACTCCTCCAGGCTGCAGGGTGTTATCGTGCGGCAGCGGCAGGAAATGCCAGACATGTGTTTGCAATAACCCCACTTTCCCACAGATTTATTGCACTGCAATGCTTCAGTGATAGATTTGCACAGAAAATCTACAGAGACAGACAGAAATAGACAGACCTCTTTGTAGCTGGGAGGGCAAACACGTGAGGTTCCTGTGAAAAGCCGTTGGCTTTGCAGTGTTGACTTGATGAAACACCAGTGGGCTTGACAGCAACACTTGCTAACCAGTCTTCTAAGGTCTATGAACAAAAGACACAAGTTATGATCATTTCATAATTTTATTGGGAAGCATTACTTCTCAGCAAGTGGTGAGGCAGTGGCACAGGCTGCCCAGGGTGGAGTCATTGTCCTGGAGGTGTTTGGGAAAAGGGTGAATGCAGAACTGAGGGATGTAGTTAGTGGGTTTGGGAGGGATGGGCTGATGGTTGGACTACATGACCTTAGAGGTCTTTTCCAACCTTTATGATTCTATGATTCTATGATTGTACCTGAAAAACTCACTTTCTCCTTGTTATGGTTTCTGAAAGCCAGATGATCTGATTGCACATAGCAGTGACAAAACAGATTTTCCCTTTGTCTTTTAGTATTAAAAATAATGTTATTTGAGAAAAATGCAGTGTATTTGTGCAGCAGTAATGGAAATGGGACTTCAGCCGGTGCAGATGGAAACAGCTCTGTTAAAGCCATTGAGCTGCTTCCTTTCTCAACGCAGCATTGTCCCAGAGATATCCGTCACCACATGCCTTCTCTCACATCTAATAAGGAACAACAAACATAAATGACTTTGCAACGCAAGTCTTTAAAATTCAGCTGTTCCATCCAGTCCTGAGAAGGAAAAAACAACATCAAACCAGCCCACTGCAAAATTATTCTTGTGCTTTTAGTTAATGGGAGTTTTGTTTGCCTCAGAATGACAGGAAAGAATAGAATACAGTAGACAGAAGTAGTATCTTGAGAGAGGGGATTGTCCCAGGGAGCTGGGAAGAGAAGGAAGAAGGCATGCATAAATACTTGTAGGAAAAAAACACTTACATGCATCTTTGAACACACAGATGCAGACTTGGATTTAACCAGATTTGGATTAATGGATCTCCCTAGACATGTCTTTCTCACTGAGAAATCTTGTCCAGGCACAAAATAAGATTTTGGCTAACATTCTAAGGTTTTCACACATTTTAGAGTCCAGCTGGAGCAACTGGGAAGGTGGATGACTGCAAAGGGTCTGGATAAACATCTGCTGTGTATGTACAGATCAGCACACTCCTCTCTTGCCTGTGTTTCCATTGTTCTCCCCAGAAAATCTCAGCTAAAAATACAAGATTCCCATCTGAAGCAGATGCATTTTGCTGGTGTCTGATATGTGAAGAGAAGTGCAGTCCAAGCAGAGGTAACAAATGAGGAGCTCCAGACAATGACACCCTGGCTAATACTAAGAAAACACTTGCGTTTTTCTAAATATGAGGAGAGGGTTAAAGGAATCAGTGGATTGCATGTTTATCTATTGATAAAGATTAAAAAGCAAATAATTTTCACTTTAAATGAAAGGAGTTTTAAAGAGTAGAAGGACTTGCCACCTTCCACAATTGGCAAAATAGACCATGCAATTGTCTGCAGCATCACAAGACATGCAAGCCATCACCAATACCTCTGGCTCATAACGGATTGTGACAGAGAAGTCCATAGCCAGTGGAATGTTGTCAATGGCAAATCTCAGCCCAGCTCCACTGGGGACACGGGCAAAGCCAGGGCCTGTCCAGGTGACAGCTCGGCCAGCGCTGGGCTGCCTGAAAACCACTTCCAGGGCCGGGTCCTGTCCTTGCTCAGCTGTGCCCTGCAAAGACATGTAGACATTGTCAGTGTCACAGTCAAGTTACAAACAGGCAAATTTGGAAAAAAGAAAGGAACTATTTTTGCTGTCCTAATTACTTATCTCAGACAGCAGTCAGCAGTTTCTGGACACGCTCTTGATCTGCATGCTAAGAACTCTCCCAAATGTGGGAAATTTAGCTTCACAGACAGAGGAAAACCACAAGAAGAAGGATTAGGTTAATCCATCCATCTCTGTATATTTGATACTCCTAGGCATTCACATTGCAAACCTTTAACAGATTCAACTTAATTTTGTACATGGCTAGACTTTCCATTAAAAGCTGAATAAATAAATATCAATACGTACAACGACTAAGCTGACTTGCAACAAAAGAATATTTAAAGACAGTAGGTACACATTTAGGTATGCTTAAATGTTGTGGATGTCCTGCAAGCAAACCAAACAAAAAAAAAAGGATTTTAACTTCCTTGGGGATCTTTCTTCCTAAACAATTGACTCAGTCAGAGCCTACAGTAGGACTGGACATAGCAAAACAAGCTTATCTGTGTGAATTATAAAATATCCAGCTCAACACTCTGACAAAAGAATTGATATCACTTGCATCTGGGTTGTAATGTATAGGACTGTCAAGTCCACATGCACAGGCATATCCTTTCCCTCTGCTGCAAGACTGAAGTTAGCATTTGGTATGAATAACAAAGCACTAATTTACCTGCACTAGTGCAGCTTTTCTTACACTTCGTTTTTTGCTCCTGTTTAGCACAATCTTTCCATTTTCAATCATGAACTCATATCCTTGCTTCTGGAAGTAGATATCACACCTTGGGAGAGTGGTTGGTTTGACCTATGAAGTAGAAGCAATGAGACAGGATGCAGCATTGTCTCAGCAATTTTGAAGGGCTTGGTAAGCAGCTAACAGGAAATCCCTATTCTTAAAACAAGCTCTATTCTCTGCTGCATGAAACCCTGTAACATGGCCCAGCGACTGCTGGAAACCCTTTTCCTTCACTTACTATTAGGTTACAGTTCTTCTCATAAACTGTGTCCCAGACATCTGTTTTCCATTTAATTACTGGACAGTAGGATGCGTACTGTCGTTGATTATAGCTAAATATTTGTGGATGTGACCTGCAAATAAACTTTTTTTTAAAATTATTACTTCTCCATAGCTTCTGGACAAAACATTGGAGAAGAAATTTTAGTAAAATGCAGGCAGCGGAAGGGACACATTCCAGCAGGATGAGACGTGTACTGTGCATGGGGGAAAATCTACCCCAATTTTGAGGAATAAATAAATGTTCTAAAAACATTATGGATGGATGCCAAATTCTAAAGGAAATCAAGCTACAATCAGTTTCTTTATGTAAGGCAGCAGGAATGAATCAAATGGAGCAGAGAACAATTTAGTTTTTCCTTTGTTTGAACTTTCCAGAAGAATCAAAGTTTGTGATAGCTTCTCCCCGAGCTGTTGGCAACTCTCACACTCTAATTCAAATATATAAATTAATTTCACTAATTTATGCTAGGCCAGCCCACACCTGAGGAGCAGCAAGGATAGCTTTGCAGGTCACCACAGCATGTAGTAATAGCCACAGTTACCGAAGACATGGGAGGCAAAGAAGAATCGAGAATGATCAAGAAACTTGCTTTGTATCAACCATCATATGGGTCTGTTTTCCATATGATGCCTTAACAGCCAACTACATACCAAGGGTGCAGAACCAGAAAGGGGCGTTGCATGCTCAGCTTCATAAATATAATAATCCAGGGGCAAAAAGAAGTAGCCTGGGGCTGGCTCATTGCACTGACGGCCCACGATGTTGGGAAGGCACTTGCACTGACCGTCCTCTGGTGAGCACCTAGGGCAGGAGTTGGTATGGGGAGGACATGAGTGCAGCATTTCTGAGTTCTCTCAGCATGAGAGCAGCTCAGCTCCACCCTTGTTTCACCTTTGTTTCTTCCACTGTGGGACTGTCCCCACTATTAAACTTCTTTCCACCATTCTCTCTATCCCTGTTTCCTCTGTGCAATGCTGCATTTATTTAGTTCTGTTTCATCACTTAGGAGATGTGACGTCATGTCTTTTTCCACCCGTTCCACCAGAAGCACAGATGCTTTTCTTTTCTGATCATTTGTTGCCATCTATTTCTCTATCTGTTTCTTGTACCCATTTTGATATCTATTACCATATTCACTAAGCATCTATCCCATATACTTTTAGAAACAGGACATGAGGTCACTAGCATCTTTGATCTGAGTGATATGGTAGTTTTCATATATTTATGCTCTTATTTCACACATCAGATGATGACTAGGTTTGATTTCTTGCTGACAAATACAAGCCAAGGAAGCTGAGGATTTGTTCTGCAGCACTGGATGTATCTAACAGGTAAGATTTCGGCCCAACAGAGTCCCGGGGAAGCCCATGTGAAACAAAACTGGCCTCTTGATTAATATGTTTTGAATATGAGTCAATGCTTAAGAAAAAAAAAGAAAAAAAATATTTTTAAAAAAAGATATTTCTACCTTTTGAAGTGTGGAAAGGAGGCTAAATTAAAAGTATCACTTGTACCTTCTAATTTCTACTGATATTAGGGCCAGTGGTTCTCTCAAACTATGCAGCTTGTATTTTGTATTAAACTAATCTTAACTCCAGCTGATCTAAAACTGGCTTTGAAGGTAGAAGATAAATCCCCCTTAAAATCACAGCTAGATCTCCCAGATCCCAACATGACTTTATACTCTTCATGCATGATGAAACTACATCTACAGTCTATTTTCCTGAGTACTGAGACCCTATTAACTTAGCTAGAAAATCTAATGCTAGAGTTTGTGAAAATTAAAAATGAGACAAAACTTGAAGAACATTAACTTACAAGTTATCCTGGGATCCACCAATGTCACAGTCACATGGAGAACAGCCATACACGCTCTTGCCAAGACCCCAGTATCCCTCCTGGGGTAAAAAGAAAGTGAAAGATTTTTCTTAATAGCAAGTAAGGTCTTTTCCAACCTGACTGATTCTATGATTCTATTCTATGATTGATGCTGTAGTCTACTCCTGGGATGCCTGCCTGTGCTTGGCTGTGTGAGATTGCTACTCATATGCTCATATGCTGCTCAAAATGCATGGGTGCTCAGACACTGTCAGAAGAACCAGGTATTTTCCATCTTTGTAAATGAGTTGCTCTGGAAATAGCAAAGATAACATTGCATTTCCTTTTCTATGAGTGTTGCTTCTGGTGCAAATAGATTGCACTAATTTCACAAGCAGTAAAAAAGGACTGAATGTCTGTGAATGTATCCATGCAAAATGGAAGAGTATAGCTGTAAAATTACTTTGTATTTTGACTAAATCTAATTGATTACCTTTTTAGCAATGATTGTTCCCTTCATGACGAAGGGAAAAAGGCTATGAGCTCCTGTTTTTTATGCAAATACTGATTGCAAATATTCTGAGAGCAGCTAAATCCACAGATAACCAGGACAGGGTGGCAGTATTTCATAGCCTAAGGCACAGAGGATGCTTTTTCCATTCATATTTCTTCATCATCCAGAGACTGCTAAGGAGAGATTGTGACTTAATCTGAGGACATCTTCAGTCTCTGAACAAAGGCCGTTTTCAGCTCTTCACTGCATTCCTCATTGGTGAGCACAATCCTAGCCCATGAACACAAAGTGAGCCCAATGGAAGCCCAGACTCAGAGACAAACCCTGGAGCTGTCCCATGCCAGGGTGGAGACACTTCCTTGGTAAAAACCAGATGGTCCTCATATTCTCTAAATAGCCTCATCACACAAGAAATAACGTCCTGTACACAGAACCGATGCCATTTTTTCCTTTGATGAAATGCCATGCCAGAGCCCACAGGAAGGCAGGAGATGGGAGAGGAGACTTCTAAAACAGATGCAGAGAGCCAGCACAAAAGAAAAACAAAACTGTCCAGACACGTACAACACACTTCTCACAGCGCCGGCCCATGGTGAACCGCTGGCAGAGGCACTCCCCAGTGGCAGGGTCACAGACGGAGAAAGGCAAAGTGCCGGCAGCATCACAGTTGCAGGCTGTGGGGAGAGAAATGTGTGGTTGCCTCAGTTGGCCTTGGTGACAGTAGCAGGGATGGGATGTGTCTATCAGCAAGCCTCACTCTGAGGAGTGGCTGGCTGGAAGCTCTCACAGCCAGGCAGCAGCTCCTTTAATCTACAAAGTGTTTAGCAGCAAGAAGAGCCCCAAAATACTCTCTAGGGAATTTAAGCACCAGGCAGAGGAGGCAAAATGTGTAACAGGCACCTCAGTCAGAAGATGCCTTCAGACTTCAGAAGGTTTGTTTCTGGCCCACATGCATCCTACATCAGTGCAAAAACAAAAACGTGAGTGGAGTGTGCAGACTGGGGTGATATTTCCATCTCCTATTTCTTCAAAAGCAATACATTTGTGTCCCAGTGAACACCTTCTAAATGCATTTGAAAAAACAGTTCTGACTATGGCTTCCCAGGAAGAGTCAAAAGTGTTTTCTGAAGACCAAGAACATGCCCTAGACATGAGATCATAGCAGCCAATTGGGTGCTTTGTAATACAGAGAGTATCCGTGAGTTACTGTGTGCATCTGTGCATTTAAGTACTCCCATCTCTTAAAAATGCTTTGTGAAGAGCAAAAGTGGTAGTTTACATACGCTGGCAACCCTGTGGGTCGCTGCCTCTCAGCCCAAAATGGTTGGCCTTGCACTTGTCACAGCGGACACCCTCCGTGTTCTCCTTGCACGGGCACCGGCCTGCCACCGTTCTCAGCACAGGGTCTGTGCGGCTCTCACACGCACCGTGGTGCAGTGTGCCCTCTGGGTCACAGCTGCAGGCTGCAGGCAGAGACAAAGAGACATAGGAAAGCATATTTAGATATAGGCATGAAATTGTACAACTGCAGCTGTTACAGTTCAGCGTTGTTGTGAAGACTGGAGATGTCCATCCACATCTGCTGTGCTGGCGGCTGCATTTTCAAAGTACAGTCAGTATTAAGAAATATTTCAGAAGGGTTTTCAAGATCAACTTTTTCTCTGGAGGAGAGTTACAGTCTTCAGTAGAAATTTACCCTTCTCCTTAGGTAGAAATGGGTGTTGCTCATCCACTCCTGATGCTCTCCACCTGGGAGAACCAAGGCTCTATGCTTCTGGGGATCCTTTTGTGAAAGCTGCAGTGTACAGAGGAGCACCACCAGGGACCCCACTCCCTAGGGACGGCCTGAGCTGGCCATGGCTGAGTAATTTGCTAGAAAGGATGGGATCAGCAGGGGCCACTGCCTTCATGATATATCTCACTTTCTGTTCAGGCTGTTTCTCACCGCACTGCTAACATCTACCATCACTTCCCTGGGTAATCTCCCCTTGGCTCCTTAAGAACTTTCCATGCCAATCAATTATGACAAATTGTGCTCAAAGCATCTTTCCTATCCTGTGATAATACTGAACTAACTTTTCAAAAGACAAGCTTGCATGCCTGAAAGCTTATTTTTAAATATATGACAAATATCTAGAAAACATATTCTTCCTCCCACCATTTCACTCCTGTAATTCATGACTATCACAAAAGCAACAGTGATTCTGCTGGTCCGTTTTCTACTGACCCTGTTCAGAAAAAATGAGATTGGCCCTGCCTGTGGCAGGGGGGTTGAAACTTGGTGATTCTTGGGGTCCCTTCCAATCCAAGGGAAGTTATTCTTTGATTCTGTGATTCTGTGATGACATCCCTGCTGGACTGAAAGCTGAGTTTAGCAGTGAGCTGGAATATGCGGCTCCCTGTACAATGCTATTTCAAGGACAGTGTTGTGCAGATATTTTGTAAGGTAGTTCGGAAGTTGTAGGTTCAGAAACACTTCTACAGCCACATACAAGTATGAGGATGCAATAGGGCTCAGAGCAAATAAATGCTAAAATAGGGAATCTTACGGAGGCAGGCATGAGGGTCTGAGATGGCTTTGTGTGGATCCTGGTAAAAGAAGAGCTTGCACTGATCACAGTGTTGCCCCGTGGTATTGTGCTGGCAGTCCTCGCAGACCCCACCGCTGACCCCACCACTGGCCTGGTACACGGCCATGTCGAAGTGGCACCTGCCAGAGTGGCCATTGCAGTTACAGCCTGCAGCCAGAAACAAAAAGAGGATAATTAACACCAGAGTTCCTAGTGTGTCTTGCCACCACTGTGTCTACCTTTACAACAGGTTTACTTGCTACGCATATGATTTCAATGTTCCAGCAAGATTACAGCCTTCCAGTCCTTGCACTTTACCACTCAGGGCAAATTGCAGCATACAGATTCTGCAAACAATGGTGCTCATATTGCAAATTCTGGTTTTGCTGCCATCAACAATATTTATTGGATTTACACATGCAGCGAAGCAGGAATGTAATGATGCTAAGACTGGAGACTAACTGAAAAAAAAACAAAAAAACAAAAAAACACAACCAAACCTTAAACACAAGACAGCAGAAAAATGTTGGAGACAAGGGGGAGAGAGACCAAAGGTGAAGAATGCTAAATCTCTCACCTTCAGAAGTGAGCAGTCTGCATAGGAGGCAGTTCTGAGTCATTTCAAAGCCTTGTCTTGGGCATCTATTCATGTCTTAAAGTAAAAACCAAGTCAGGAGGACCATGGCAGCAGGCTCCAGGCACCTTGTGCAGGGCTGGCACTACACAAGTGGCAATGTTTCAGGTTGGCATAGCAGCTGCCAGACCTTGTGAGAAACTGTGTGTGCTTCCAATCATGCCTCAAGGAGACAAGCCCTCAGCCTGCCATTTCCCCCACACAGGGAGCAGCAGCATCCCCCCATAAAATGCCCTACAGGCACCAGAACTGGACCTTACCTACACTTTGAGAAAAACCCACACAGGTGTGTCTGCCTGTTACAGAGTGGAGAACACCCCTCCACAGAAGAAAGATTTAACTAAATACCCGATACAGATCTTCATCTATTATTCTTTTATGTCCTACATTATTCACCATTGTGGAAATAAATAATTCAGCCTTGTCTATATGCTTGTTTCATTTGCAAGAAAGACCCTAAGTTAAGCAATAAATGTTCCTCTGGCATCAGCAGCTTTTCCTTTATTTTTCCTTTTCTCTTTATTAAAAATAAGAATGTGAAAGTTCACCTAGGGCAACAGCACCGATAGACACATAAATCCATCTGTTTTTTCTAGATGAGGCATGGAAAATGTTCCATCCCAGAAACCATCCGATAGTGCACTGTGCTGTGACTGTGCTGCACCCACCCCCCAGTAATCACAAAGGAAAAAAATATGTTTGAGTTTTGGAGCCATAAAAAAAAAAACAACAACAATGAGTTACGTTTGCAAGCATTGTCTTGTGCCCCTTCAGCTGGCCTCCAGGGAGCGTCGTTGTAGAAATCTTTACATCTTTCACAGGACAAGCCTTCTGTGTTGTGGCGGCAGATACATCGCCCATGCACCTGCAAGGTAGTGAGACGGATGAGATATGGTGAGGAGAGGAGAGGAGAGGAGAGGAGAGGAGAGGAGAGGAGAGGAGAGGAGAGGAGAGGAGATTCTTTTCAGTTTTATGGAAGGAAAACATAAAGGCATCCTTTCATCTCCCAACTGAAACAGATGTGGATCAAAATAATGTTTTCTGTATGTCTGCTGGTGTAATCTGTTCCTGATGGTTTCATTGCCTCCATTAAGATTTAAAGTGATTTTTTCTTCCACTACTACTGTAAGTCTCAATGCTACAGAACAGCCACTAGATTTCATTAGGACTCCTAAATCAAGTTATATCCTTTCAGGTACTACATCTGTATTCATAAGAAGAGCTATAACCCCTACTGAGTTGCTTTTGCTATTATAAAATGTCTTATCTGCAAATATAGTCAATAGTAATCTGCTTGAGGTACACCAGCAAGATTGGCGAAATTCAAAGCTCTTTGGCTCCCTCAGCTGACAAAATGCTCATTTATTTGAGGAAAAGTTTGGAGAATGCCTACAAACTTTAACCCAATAGTTTCAAAGCTGCTGGGCAACATTTAGGAAAAAAAAGTACTTCTAGAGACACCAGTGGAGACTTCAACATTTTTTATTTCTAGCTCTCTCTCCCTACATGTGTCAATTCTGAGAAACGTATTTCCCAAAGAAAAAAATCTGATCTCTTTATCCCACAAGTAAAGAATTTGAAATAATCTCTCTGAATTTTTTTAATAATCAATTTTTCATGGGTTAGCCTTGCATTATTGGCCGTTCTTTTTGCCAATGTCTTTGTCCCTGCTGCAGAGCCCCTGAGCCCAGATGGAGCATGGAATTCACCCAACAAGCAGCCAGTCAAGTCTGCACACAGCACAGGCTGCTTACTGCATTATATTTGCACCATTACAGCTCTGGTATTTTGCTGCTGCTATCAACATGTCACGTCCCAGTTGCTTGTGAAATACCACACTGAAGCCAACAAAGATAAAGCTGCTGAGAAATCTGGCCCAGAGTTTGAAGGAAGAACTTGTATCAAAACACTGGGGTTGCAAATGGTTAATCCAAATGTCATCAGAGACCTTCCTTCCTCTCCCTCCCTCTATCTTTCCATCCCTTCCTCTCTCCTTTCCTCCATTCCTTCCTTCCAACAAAACACCAGGCAAGGACTTAATAGCATTAATGACGCACCATGCCAGGCTGATGAAAGACGTCACCCCGCAGATTCTGTATGGGGTCACAGTGGCTGGCATGGCCATTGCAAAAGCAGTTGCCCCGCACAACCATCTCGTAGACAGCATAGTAGTACTTCTCAAGGGGATCACCTTGCCTTCTTCCAAGGAGAGCATCCCCGAGGGTATGGAGTTTGGTAAAATTGATCCTTAGGTTTGTCATTGTAATGAGCTCTGGAAAGAAAGAAAAGAAATCAGGAGCCCAAGATGACTTGAAAATGAAGAGGGTCAAATTTACAGATTGCATGAAACATTCAGTAAATCCCCCACACTGAAGAAATTGTTAAAATGGTCTGATATGGGCCTGGACAAATGACTTGCTCCTGGCAGACAGCTTCCTGGTACAGCCCTGGTGTCAACGGTCAACGGATCGCAAGGTTCCCTGGGGAATGTAGTTCTTCTTCTCTTCAGGGCAGGTACCCAGGACTTGAGCATTGACAGTTAAAGCCCCAGTGCCCCACATGATGTTATGTGGAATACCGAAAGCCAAAAATCACAAAACCATGACACCTGGTCTGGCTAAGCAATGCTTCCTCAGCCAGTGCCTCATGAGCCCATGAGAGACACCCAAGTGGCAGGGAGGATTAGGCCATCTGGTCCTAGAAGGAAAAATAGTTTAGCTACATGGATGGGCTGTACAGAGCTGGGTCATTTGTCTGTAAGGCTAGGGGACAGGATTGGCTCTTTTAAAATTTATTAGTACAGATGTCTTCCTATGATCCTTTGGTACATATTTTTGAACATCATTATTAACACCAGTTGAACTTTTGCTCCTCTCAGTGTGCAAAGTAAGCAACATCCGCTAAGTATCACTGGTGAAAACTTGCATTGTTCTTACCTTGGATATATGGCACATATGGGTTTTCTATTTCAAAGCTTGGATCCAAAGCTTTTAAGACAACCTGCAAGTTAGATTAAAACAGCTCTGTAAGTCATGGAAGATATTCTTTTTGCATATAAATTCTACTACCTGAGATCTATTAGTTATTGATGTCACTTTACTGATCCCATCAAATTAAAACCAAAGTCTTGGCCCCAGTTCAGCAAGTTCTTTCCCCTTTTCAGCCTGGCTTTGGCTGGCAAAAAGCCCTTCAGTGGCAGAGGTTGACAGGGAATCAAGAGCTGTTATAAGGAATGGCTTTCATGTGAACATGTTTTCATGGGAAAACAGGAAAGAGCACTAGAAGGCTTTTTGCCTGTTGTTTTATGAGTTCATTTGGATATGGAACTGAGGGTAAAATGCTGTGATTTTCCCTCTTATGCCTGAAAAGTCAACAGCACTTCATAACTCAGGATCTCTGTAAGTAAATATGACGGACGTAAAAGCAAGACCCTCAGCTCCTGAATGCTAGCCATGCATGATCTCAGTCACTGACTCTTGGCAGTACCTCGCCTTCAGTGGAGGGCTCAATGTCTGAATATCTTGAATCACAAATGACGTCTCCCACACCCTTTGATGGACCAGAAGAGATGTTGGGAAAAGAAGCTGCACAGTCCTGTGCAAAATATCTAAACGCTTTCCAGGTCTGACCAAAGTCGATGGAGCGCTCAACCAGCATTGCTGCGGGCCGAAATGTCTGCAAGAAACATTATTTCAGGAACTCCTTAATGAGGGAGGGGAGATTTAGGTAGGATGTCAGGGGAAAATTCTTTACAGGGAGAGTGGTGAGGGGCTGGAACAGACTGCCCAGAGAGGTTGTGGATGCTCCGTCCCTGGAAATGTTCAAGGCCAGGTTGGATGGGGCCCTGGGCAGCCTGGTCTAGTATTAAATGGGGAGGTTGGTGGCCCTGCATGTGGCAGGGGGGTTGGAGATTCATGATCCTTGAGATCCCTTCCAACCCTGGCCATTCTGTGATTCTGTGAGGCACTGATTAGATATCTTGGGGATAATTGTGTTGACAGTCCTGTTTGGGGATGCCAACAGCTGCCAACTATATTTCTATGTTTGAGAGCCTGCAGACACACTGTACTATTTGCATGAGACTGAAGAAGCCATTTGCCTCATCTCAACCCCCTCAGGAGAAGAGAAGGGCAATCTTCCATATGGAATCATAGCATCATAGAATGGCTTAGCTTGGAGGGGACCTGATCTAGTTCCAACCCCTTGCTGTAGGCAGAATTACCACCTACCAGATCAGGCTGCGCAGGAGATTATTTTATAAGTAGATTATTTTTAAGTAAGGAAATCCACTATAACAATACAGGAATTTTGTTAAAAAATAAAAATAAAAAAATAAAAAAATTGTAGTCATCTAAGTGGATCACAATGGGTATGCTCAAGAAGACAGAATTAAACTTGAAAGAACCATCTCCCATAGAAATGTCAAAAGTATTTGGACTTAATTTCGTAGTTTATTTTTCAGATTTAATTATCAGATTTATAGAAAATAGGACAGGAATGTACATGAATGAGAAGCTACTCAGCCTACTACTTTCCCTAAGGCAGGATCATCTACAACTTAACCATCCTTGACAGGTGTTTATCTAACCAGTTCTTACAATCCTCTGAGGATGGTGCTTTCACTTCTTCCCTAAGCAATTTATTCCTGTGGTTAAAGAATTAGTGTATAAAATTACAAAAAAGATGTGCATATAATACCTTAAAGGTCAGGATGAGATGGCTGAACTGGAATAAAGTTTCTAGGTCCAGTCTAATACTGACATGGTCAACGCCTGAAAAAGAATGAAAATGAAGCAAAGAGCACAAATCACACACTGTAGGGGCTGCTAAGGCAGTCTTCCTTGGGGAATTCACAGATGCCTTTTCCAGCCAAAGCAATCAGGCTCCCTAAGTCCCAGAGGGAGCTGACTTGGTCTCCCAGGATGCCTTAGGGAGCCTGGTTGCCCCAAACTGGTGACAGTGCCTTGCTATATGCCAGGAAACATTAGGGCTTAGGAATTTCTAGTTGGGTACTACTCTGTCCTTACACATCCGGAGGCAAACATACCTTGTGCAACAAACTACATCTCTGTGAAAAGCAGGTACCCTAGAATAATGTACACCTACTGCATATCACAAAACAGTGCTGCAGGTCTTCCACTCAGCTCTTGGAAGACACTGTGCTTAAAATATTTCTGTAGAAAAACAGAATTTCTAAAGTCCAATATTTTTACAGAGGAATAGGTTAAAGTCCTGTAGTATTGCTAACTCAAGGAGTATGTGAGGCTTTGTTCATTCATTATGAAGGCCAAGTAGTGAATAATTACAGAAGTAAATCTAACCACAAGCAGCAACATTCTGTCAAGGAAACTTACCGTTTTCTGACTGCCACCACTTTTTTTTCCTATCTGGCTCAAAAGTTGTGATAACATTTTCAATCATGTGGCTGTTGCGTTGTGTATAGGGATTATATGGATACCTAGAATCACAGACAAAGCACTTCTGGTCAGCCTAGAAAACAAAAAGAGCAGAATAAAAGATGAGTTTGGTCTCTTCTCGAAAGATTTGGTAGATGTGTATTTGTGTGTGTGCAGTCTCCGGCCTGGAGTCAAGCAGCAGAGGCATTGCAGGGGAAGACTGTCTCCTTAAGGCCTAAGGGGGCCTTCAAGGGGAACATTCCCTACATCATTTGTCTGTATTTTTCTCTCTCTTTTGCACATTGGCCAGGAGCAGCAGATAGATGCTGTTGTACAGGTGGAAGAGAAGGCTGGGTCCAGACAAAATGTGAAAGATCTGGGTTGATACCATCAACACAACCAGTGCCTTCTGTGGGCGGAGTGGGGAACTGGGATGTCAGCAGCACCCAAAGTGGGGAATCAGGAGGTACCAGTCCAGCACTTTGTCCAAAGCTGACGGGTTGGCTGAAAACAGAAGGCAGTTCTGTGAGCAGAACTGGAGCAGGGGAGAGGATTGTTTGTGATTTGGCCACAACAACCCCATACAGTGTTATAGGCTTGGGGATGAGTGGCTGGATGATTGTGAACAGGAAAGGGACCTGGGGGTGTTGGTTGATGCTCGGCTGAACATGAGCCAACAGTGTGCCCAGGTGGCCAAGAGGGCCAACGGCATCCTGGCCTGCATTAGAAATAGCGTGGCCAGCAGGAGCAGGGAGGTGATCATCCCCCTGTACTCAGCACTGTACTCAGTACCTCTAGTACTGTGTTCAGTTTTGGGCCCCTCACTACAGGAAAGACATTGAGGCCCTGGATGTGTCCAGAGAAGGGCAACGAAACTGGTGAGGGGTCTGTAGCACAAGTCTTATGAGGAGCGGCTGGGGGAGCTGGGATTGTTCAGTCTGGAGAAGAGGAGTTCTCAGGGGAGACCTCATTGCACTCTACAACTTCCTGAAGGGAGGCTGTGGTGAGGAGGGGTTTGGCCTCTCACTGCCGTCCCTGGCAGTGTTCAAGAGGTGCCTGGATGAGGAGCTGCGAGATGTGGTTTAGTGCTTGTGGTAGCAGTGGTGATGAGAAGACGGTTGGACTAGATGGTCTTACAGGTCGTTTCCAACCTTGTGGTTCTATGATTCTATAAATGATGAAGTTACAACTTGTAAGACAAGGCAGAAGCACAAAAACCACTCATCTCACTTCACAAAGCTTCAATAAGGAGCATTCCAGTTATCTCAGCATTTGGTACTGTGTACACCCATGCTCTGGTGTATACAGACACACTATGTGACATTCGTTCCATTTATGTTTAAGGTTGCACCATGAAAATCTCTTTGTGCCCCAAATGACAAGCACATGCATGTCCTTATAGGCACATCTGCCAGATCCCATCTGCCCTTGAAGCACACTCCGCAGCATGAAGTACTTTTCCTTTCCAAACACATGTAAGTAGTAAGCCCAATTACAGGGCTAAAACCCATTTAACCTACGCTTAGAAACAAGTAGAGGTATTATTCTAAATAAGGCACAGTTCTCAAAAGTGCTTCTTTTCAAATGCACAGAAGTTGAACTCTGATTTTTTCAATCTGAATTTTTATTAAAACATTCCAACCAAGTCTGGGCTTCTGGCAGTTTGCCACATTGACTGGCAAACTTTCATACACCAGGTTTGTTCCTGCCACGGTTCCCTTGTCATGACACAGGTCATCAGAAGGGGAATGTGGGGAGGAAGAATGCAAAGTTTCCTGGCTTGCCTCCAGGAGTACTGGTGGGAAGTACTGATTTCAGTGGAATTCTGTAACATACTTCAGGTAGCAGATACATAGAAGGAGAGCTGGTACAACAAGTCACACTGCTAAAGCATAATTCAGCTTTGGGAAGCAGCAGGGCTCGTAACTTGCATCGCCTTCAGAAGGCAGTCACTGGGGGTCAAGATATGTTGAGGCAGCAGTAAATCACAGGGATTATTGCAGGAACAGCTGTTCTTTTTCATGAGTCTGTATTTACATAATTCAAAGGATAAGTACAGGCAAGTGAAAAGATCAATTTTTTTTATCACTCTTTGATCTCATCTTAAAAAGAAAAAGAAGGAAGTCCTCCAGCCAGAAGTGAGATGACTCTTTGTGCTGGGCTACCAAGCTGAGCCAAGGCTCAGAGCAGAGCCACAGAGTGCCCAGAATTCCTTTGTTCAAACAACCTGGGGAAAAACTGCAAAAGGTGAAGAGAAGCTCAAAAGAGCTTTCAGAAGTGGAAAGAACTGTTTACATTTTGCAGAAAAATGCAGTTGCAGTGAGTAACTGGGAGCAGTGTTCAGTGTCATCTCAGTATGGCAGAGCTTTACTTTGTAAATATTTCACAGCATTTTGCCAGAAGGTAATAAACTAAATATTTTTGATTGCTTATAAATGAAATGATACTTTATTAACTTCCTCTTCACCCTGCAGATGGTGCGTAGTAAAAATATTCCTGCTTGAGAGGATATGTTGGCTCAGCAGGGCCAAGCAGAGGAAGTCCATTTCTGCTGGCCACTGGTTCCAAACACCTGATGGACACATAGGTTCCCCACAGGTGCTTCCCCAGGAGGGATCTGTTTGATTGCCCATATTTCGTGTCTGCCTATCCACCTAGATGGCCAAAGACTGTGGTTTCTCCCTCAGATGTGGCTTTTCTGCTTTCATCAGCACTGGTTTTATTTCACATCAAGTGACATGTGAGGACGTGGCATGAATCTCTTAACAGGCTGCTTTAAGTCTCAGCACTGTATGGCACGTCCCCCAGCAAAGGCATGTCAAAGACTGTGCCCATCCTGCTAAGCGCACACAACGCGCCAGCTGTGGTCTTCATCTCTGAGCGGGGAAAGACTGGCAAAGTAAAGCTCCCTCAGATATCCTTGTGCTCATTTGCATCTCATGGATGTTTCTCACTCTGGAGAAGCTGTGCATCACTGAAGACTGTTTGCTGTTTTTGCCAAATCCTCCTTATGTGCTGCAACGAGGTGCAGCCTTCCACCAGGCTTCTTTCATGCTATCTGATAATTATTCAGACAAGACCAGGAGAAGTTTCCCAGTCTGGGCAGCTTCCTTTTACAGAAAAGAACATTGCTAGCCTGGAGAGTTCCGTTTATTACGAATAAAAAGCAAACCAACCTCAAGGTAGCCTATAATGCAGTACTTCTGGGGGCTGTTCACTCCACAGGTTGAAGAGGCCACTAGTTGCTTGCTGCGACCCAGGAGGAGGTCCCCAACGGCCGGGTGGCAGGACCCAGCCCTGCAGTCATCCTGTGCCTGCCGGAGTCCCACCAGCACTGCGTGCAGAAGAAGATCAGCGAAAGATTAAACTGGTTCACATATTCAGCAATGCTCTCCACAGAAAATCAGTGATGTTCTAACATCAGCAGAAAAGTAAATTGTCCTCTGTCTGTTCTCCTGCCCTTAATCATATCACCTGATAGAATCTGGAAGAGCTTGGCTCATGAACACACCTGCTGCTAAATCATTAAAAAAACAGAGCTAGCATATTGCAAATGTACGCTAAATCATATTCTCAGCATTTTGCTGTCCATCAAAGATGCCAATCTGCTAGCAGCAATAATGTACTAAGCATCCCATCCCATACCCAGAGTCAGCGCTGCTGCAGCAGAATCACAGGCATTACAACTGACTGTGAGCAGAGCCAGATTCTAATTCATTCTGCTGGTTTGTGCTGAGTTCTCAAAGTTGTACTGATGAAACCAAGGCCAGGAATAAAGTCAGAGGTGCCTATGATTTTCTGATGATTTGCAATGAACATCCTGCTCTGGTCCCAGCACCTTCAATTCAAAACATGGAATGGTTATTAATAATTGAACAGAATAATTTGAACTTCTGTACATATTTGTGTGATTTTTTTGGTTTATTTTGCCTGAAGCTACTTTAACTATTTCTTTCCAATATGTCAAGAGTTCCCTTACAGGGTTTGTCCTTTTAAACAAGTTCTATCCTGAAACCCTTAACAGGAATGGGTACCTCGGAGGCTTCATCTAACTCAGTTTTACTTGGCTCAACTTGTTATAAAAAGTACAGTTAAAAAAAAAAAAAAAAAAAAAAGATCAATAATGAAGATCCCATAGGAGCACAAAAAGCAGTAATGCAAATACAGCACTAAATAAATTTACTTTTTTTTTTTTTTTTTTTTTTTTTACTGTGAATATTTCTACAAAGTACTGCAACGGACAGATTTGAGTTCATAGCTCAGGCTATACTTCAAGCACTGAATGAAACTTGACTTTTAAATATAAAGCAACACATATGTTTGGTTAATCTGCCCTTATTTATTTATCCAGGTTCATCATGTATTAGCAATCAGCAGATACTGGATGCCCCTTTCAGAAGCTGATTCAGGCTTAATCACCACACACACTTTCTGTTTGTATTTAAAGATTGCACATCACTCAGAATTCCTAAGCAGGAACATAAGGAACAAGGACTCAAAGTCTCATGCATTTTAATTGTGTAGACAAATGGAGCACCCTGGAAGTCTTGGAGAAACATATAAATGACACAATAGTATTTCAAAATTGGCCCAAATAACTGTATATACTTACTGAGGTGCAACAGAAGGGCCAGACAAGCCTCATGTCTCTGCATGGAGTCAGGCTGATCTGGCTGGAAGAGAAGAGCCAGTGTGTCACACAATGCTCATCTGCCCCAGAGCATGCCTTGTGCGTGGGTTTTCATGGAGCTGTCTTTCAGCAAAGGGATGGAACCACAGTAAAAACACGAAGATTAAAAACAAATACTGGTCTTGACTTTGTGCTGGTGGAAAATTCTCGTGACGGTTTTTTTTCAGAATGGGATCAAAGCAGAGGGATACCTCACATGTACTTTTGCAAAAGACCGTAAAACATATATATACAGTTTAAAATAGAAATTAAATGTTATCATCAAAACTTCTGTGGTATTCAAATATAAACTATTTAATCCTAATTAGATTCAACAGAGCTATTTGCAGAGATCTAACTCCTTCTCTCTAAGTTCTTGTTTCTTTGCATTGACTTCAAACAAAGCCAGAAATCCTAACATAGATGCTACTGAATAATGCCTAAAGTCAAGTGATACAGATTTTGGTCTCATTAGAGAAATAAGTATAACCAAATATTTAAATGCAGTGAAGAAGAATAGATAAAGTTATTATCAGCACAAAAGACTTGTTTGGAGGAGACCTCAGAACCCATGGTAGGATTGCTGTGGCTTTTACTTCGCATCCTTCCTACTAACATTCTTGCAGAGGAAGGTGTGATTTGCTAAAACAAGAACTCTATTGGAAAAAAAAAGGCAGAAATGGATGGAAAATATGGCCCAGCATCCTTCCACCATATAGAGCTTCCAAACCACAGCCTGACTTCACTTTTGTGTCTCCCACCTCTTTCTCCATCTGTAGGCACTGATGGAATCAACATGTTCTGATGCCACTCTGGCTGCTGGCATCCCCATGTGTCACCCCAAATTGTCTTAGACAAAATACCCCACTGTGTCAGAACAGAGCAACTGTTCAAATAAGCAAAGGCATTCCAAGTATTTCAGATTTTACAGGCTCCACATAGGCTTGGTTCACACAACTTCAATCGGTACATGAGAGAACAGACATGTCTGTAAGGCTGTTTCAGCAATCAGGAGTGATCTACATATCTTTGTAATTACATGTCCCATTCACACTCCATACCAATGATATTCTTTAAACGTAACTCACTTTAGCAGACAAAGACCAGCAAAACTCCAACACACTTCAGTTTTACACTTAGCAGGAAAATTAAATACTGGAGATGTCTTACCTGTATTTCAAGCAGCCGAGTGCTTCAGCTGGAAGTGAACTGCACAGAATGCAAGAAGCAAGTAAAGGCATACCTGTGCACTTCAGCTGAACAAGATCGCGTGTCCCCTGAGGCACCAAGGTGTAGGTGAGAATGAGACTTGGCCTGCAACCTGCCAAGGGGGTGATTTGTGAAGTCACTCTGATGGGGCTTCTGGCATTAGCAAGTATGTGCAGTGAAAGAATATTGTGACAGGCAGAAAAGGTTCTTACAACTTCAGTGAGAAGATAAGGATTCTTAAAAAACAACTCTAATGGTTGTTAGCCACATCTTGGAGCCTTCACCACTACTTAGCATCAGAAGTCCAGTGGTACTGGTTTAACTGAGTGCAGAATGAAAACAAGTCCTCCTCACAGCAGGGGTGCAAAGTGACAAAAGAGCAGGGTTTGGGCTTTGGAGTGGCTGCAAATACGCCTGTTCAAAAGCTGTGACTAAAGCCCATGTGGATGTAACAAGTCAGCTTCAAGTTAACTCAAACTCTGGGTCAATGCATGAACATTACTTCCCTTTTTTTTTCCTGACCAAAAGCTAAAGACACCACGACAACTTGAGTACAGCCTCAGTGCTGACTTTCAGCAGATGTTTTTGCCTGTACCCTCACCTGCAAGCACCTGCAGCGTGGTGCAGGGCCTACACCGCCATCTTGAGAAGCACTGCGAGGGAGCAGCTCCAAGATGGCGCACACCCACCCGTGCTCAAGCAGTGGCCATTTGTGGCTCTGTCAAACCCGTAGCACTTTGATTTCAATTTTCAGAACAGTATATCATCACCTTGGAGACATATTTTTGATTTTGATCTACTTGTTATTAGCCTTTCTCTGTCTGCCTGCAAAGCCTAGTTCATGGCTGTAAAGCATCACAACCTCAAACAGAAGTTTTCTAAATGTCCAAAATACGTCATAAACTAAATGCTGCTTTTCTTTTGATAGCTCCTATCCTTTTAGAAAAACAAACAAGCAAACAATAAACAGATGGATGATCACAATGTAGTGTTCAGTGCTGTGTCCTCTGCTATTACTGTGAGAACTCACTCTAGCAGAAATAATGCATACACTTACATTTTTGGAAATTATCTTCTACAAGTGCACGTGGAAATTAGTTGTGGGAGACTTTTTTCAGGCCAATTTAATCTGAATTTTGTTTGTATTCATACCTGACCAACTACTTATTTAAATTTCTCCGTATTATAATGATTATTATTTATTTTTTGATAATTAAAAAAAAAAGACTAAGTGATAAATTAAGATAATAATTCTACTTTTTATCTGTAAGCAGTATCTCAAATGCATTCTGAAAGAATTGCACATAACTGAAAAAAGCATTATTATTGTGATGCTACTAAATTATAGAATGGTTGACATTTTATCAGCACATTTGGTAGGGAATTCAGATTTTGTTGCAGAGAAGTTATGTGAGAAGTAAATACGAAGGAAGATTTATTTCCAGAATATTGCTGGTCCTGTGTTTTGATTTATGTCGGACCCTGAACAAGAAAGAGGTTTTAAAATGCTTGAGGCAGGGATTAAGGAACTTCTATCTCACTTCTTTAATCTTTCCCATGGTAAAGGATCTGGATTTATAATGCTCACTTGTCCCATGCTGGCTGGAGGGTAGACAGCGTTGGTGCATGATTTTTCAAGTCATCACAAGTCTTAAAGTTATAATTTCTAAGGTCTTAGGAATATCCTTAACACACAAAGGAAAAGAACTGCAAGCACTTGGACATATTTTCATTTCACAGACACCAACCACCAGTGAGGAAATGGAATGGGCAGAGGCTGCAGCCTTGGTGCCCCAGTCACACTTCAGCATGTGGCACCAGTCTGTGTAAGTGTACACTGCCCTCCCATTAATATGTTGAATAAACACCTCTATGGGTATATGATTTTTTTCTCTTCAATGAAAATGACAAAAGTATCACAAAATGTATATAAATAATTATGCTTTTCTTTGAAGTTAGGATATGAAATAAAATAATTTGAGCCTGGGATTTTTCTTGCCAACAGAAAAATAAACCTCCTCTAAACAAGTTACCTGGGCTTCCTGGAGCCAGGGAAGAAAGACAGGGACTCCTACAGGGTCCATCCTACCACATCTTTTAGATACTTACCTAGAAGCATATATCACCCTCTGGAGGTATCTACTGCTTTCCTCTAGGCAAGTGCAGCCCCATTCACAGGCAGTATTCCTGTGTTTTAAATTGATTCACTGAGATGAATCCAATCCATAAAGAACATAAAGACAAGAATCACAAATGAAATGGTCTGAAAAACAAAACCATCTTGCTACATTTCTATCTTTCCCCTGCTTTGATTTCTTTCAGCATTCCTTATGTTTAAAGTGTCATTTCTCAAGGCAAGGAGTGCATATTTTTTGGTATTCCACATACTGACAGAATGTAGCATTGGATAATAAAACCAGAATAAAGCATAAGCTCACAAGAAGGTAAGAGATGTA